GGAAACCAAGGGCCAATGTTGCCGGTGCAACGGCAATGGCACCTGCTACAAATGCAAATGTGCTAAAGAGAATCGTAAGTGCACGAGCTGCGCGCCAGGACGGAAGTCGAACTGTAAGAACACCGTAACCGTACGAAAAGAGCCAGCCGTTAGTACCGTACCCAAGCCAGGGGCAGCTCCACCTGCACCTGAGCAACTCGGATTTGCGTCGCCCAACCGAAGATCGACAACCAACACACACACCACTCAGAGAACGCCTGTGTCCGGTGCAACCACAGCGGATGACATAGCCTCCGCCGCACTCGCCGCTGCTATGTCGAATGTTTCAAGCTCTCAACAGCTAGCATGGAACTTACTGGAATCCGCGGAGTCTGCGGAGTCAAGCACCAGTTCAGAAGTGTCAACTTGCAAGCATGCTGACGATGTCAGACCTACACAGCGTGACATGACAATGAGGCCGACTACCACAGCTGAGACCCCAGAGTCACTCACGTCTGCTCTGCTTGCGGAGTGCCGACAAGAGACTGTTTCAAATTCTCAACAGCAGGCGTGGGACATATTAGACCAACAGCATGACACTGACCCACGCGAAATCCACACACATGCCCAAGCTGCAGAGTGTCGCGACCCGGGTGCTGCCCATGTGGGTAGTAGTAGTAGTAGTTCTAGTTCTAGTTTTGCGGGCGGCCGAGCGGAGCAGGCGGCTAGAACACCGGCCGGCGGCACGAGCCAGCTTCGACTCGATGCGGATGAACCAGGTACGGATTCGGCAGAAACGGGGCAAGTATTACTGGACAGTGCTAGAGCCGATCCAGAAGACTCTCTCGCGGAAGCCGCACATCTGCTTGCAGGTCTAGATAGTAGTCAAGCAACACAGATTCATGCAACCTTGCCCTTGGACGAGACCCTCCATCAAGACGCAAACAGGCAGGACAGCAATACGCTGCCACACCATTCGCCTGCAGCGACTGGTGCATTCACCCTGGGAACTATGGACAGCCAAACTACGGCAGCCACCATCAATGCCGCATATGAGGAGGCAGTACATTTCAGGCCAAATACCTTCAATGTGCCACATGGATCTTCTGGAAAGGCATTTGTAGCACAACTGAGTGTCTATCTGCAGGGCTTTGGAGATTCAGGACCCTTTGAGGGTCAAGCCCTCAGAATTGCCATGGTGTTCCAGCAACTACTCCTTCAGAAAACAAGACCACCATCACAGTCACTCGCAAAGTGTCTCCAAACCCGCTTGCACCAGTGGAATAACGGCGAGATAGATCAACTACGCCATGAATGTCGCACGATCCAACAGCTTCTTCAACGTCAGTCATCCACAACTGCTCAGTCCACAGACGCTCGGCACTTTGCCAACCTTGTGACGAGTGGAAAGTTAACCTCCGCCATCCACATGTTGCAGGAGGGTGGTCGTGGCGGTGTATTGGAACTGGACGACAGAGTGGGTGACAGCACTGTTCGTGACGTGCTCAAGAGCAAGCACCCTATCGGCCAGCCAGCAAACCCAGATGCACTGATTCCCGGGCAAGCGCCCATACCACCTCATCCTGTGCAGTTCGAAGCTCTTAATAGAGCCTCCATCCGACGTGCCGCACTACACACGCAGGGAGGTGCTGGCCCATCGGGAGTGAACGCGGACACGTGGCGCCATATGTGCACCGGCTTCTCCGATGCATCTGACCAGCTATGCGATGCTATGGCTCAATGTGCGCGCCGCCTCGCAACTACGTATGTCGATCCTACCGCACTAGAAGCTTACACGTCCTGCAGATTAATTCCTCTGGACAAGAGCCCAGGTGTCAGACCGATCGGCATTGGGGAGGTTCTCCGCCGAATCCTGGGCAAGGCCATCCTCTCTGTCATCCGCCCTGAAATCATGGAGGCTGCAGGAAGCCTTCAGTTATGTGCAGGCCAGGACGGAGGTATCGAAGCTGCCATCCATGCGATGGGGAGTGTGTTTGATGATCCGTCCACAGAGTGTCTTTTGCTTGCCGACGCATCCAATGCGTTCAATTGCCTGAACCGCGAAGTTTGCCTTAGGAATGTGCAGCACACGTGTCCGTCTCTCGCCCATCTGGTTGTCAACACATACCGTCGGCCCGCAAAACTATTTGTTGGTGGTGAAACGATCCTATCGGAGGAAGGTACAACTCAAGGCGACCCTGTGGCAATGGCCATGTACGCTATTGGCATCGCCCCGCTGATGAAGTCTGTGGCAACTGAAGGTGCGGTACAGTCCTGGTATGCTGACGACGCTGGGTCGGGTGGCAAGCTGCTGCGGGTGCGCAAGTGGTGGGATCGGCTAGTCGGAAAGGGCCCCCAGTACGGATACTTTCCCAACCCGTCCAAATCCATCCTGGTTGTGAAACCTCAGTTCCTCGATGAGGCTGTCCGTATTTTCGACGGCACAGGTGTCACCATCCAACCCGATGGTGCAAGATACCTCGGCGCTGCAATCGGCACGCCAGCCTTTGTCACCAGCTACCTGCAGCAGAAGGTTGAGGAGTGGAGCACACAAGTTCACCGCCTTAGCCAGTATGCTATCACTGAGCCGCAAGCAGCCTACTCAGCGTATGTGTACGGCCTGCAGAGCAAATGGACTTTTCTCTGTAGGGCACAACCTGGTATGGCTGAGCACCTAGCTCCGCTTGATGCTGCTATCACCAACACCTTCATTCCTGCTCTCCTAGGTCGCCCCGTCAATGCTGAGGAGCGCACCCTGATAGCATTGCCATGTCGCTTTGGAGGCCTTGGCATACCTCATCCGTCGTCCCGGGCCGAACAGCACCAGTCCTCCCTTGACATCACTGCCTCCCTCACCTGCCGTGTTCTCGCCCAAGATCCAGTTCTTGGCACTGCCATCCATGATGTTCGCGCTGCCAAGAAGCGCGTGATGGCGACAGCCGGGGAGTCAATTCGCGCAGCAGCCCAGGCCTTCTCTTCCTCCGCCAGTTCAGAGCTGCAGCGAGTGATCGCTCTGGCTTCGGAACCGGGTGCCTCAAGCTGGCTCACGTGCCGACCCCTTCAACGCCATGGCTTCACCCTGACGAAGTCGGAGTTTCGGGATGCTGTTTGCCTTCGCTTCAACTGGCTGCCGGTCCGGCTACCATCACTGTGTGCGTGTGGGCAGCAGTTCACTGTGTCTCACTCCCTCTCGTGTCCGACGGGTGGATTTCCGTCCATTCGTCACAACGAGGTGAGGGACCTCACTGCTCGTCTGCTCAGGCGGGTGGCCCATCAGGTGGCAGTTGAGCCACACCTCCAGCCACTCTCCGGAGAGCAACTCCGTTATCGCACTGCTATTGCTGACGACCAGGCACGCCTAGACGTCGTGGCTAGTGGCATTTGGGGAGGACGGTTCGAACGCACCTACATTGATGTACGGGTATTCAACCCCCATGCGTCTTCGAACCGTTCCAACTCACTTGCTGCTACCTATGTCCGTCATGAAAAGGCTAAGCGTCGTGCGTATGAGCAGCGCCTGAGGGAGGTGGAGCATTCCAGCTTTGTCCCCGCCATCTTCTCTACCACTGGAGGCATGGGAAAGCATGGTGCTTCGCTCTACAAACGCATCGCCTCTCTCCTCGCTGCCAAGACTGGGGAGCCATACAGCATCACCCTAGCTGCCATCCGCTGCCAGATTGGCTTTGCACTGGTCCGTTCAGCGCTGATGTGCTTGCGTGGTGCACGCAAGGCATTCTTACCAGCAATGGCCTCAGACTCGGCAGCGCTTGTTGTTGCTGAAGCAAGAATCTCAGCTTGAGGCTTACATTATTATCTGTCAAGTGTCATTAATGACATTGTACATGATCATCACCGCGTGCGCTCGATCTAATCATTGATTGTCTTTATTTTATGTTTTGCCCGTACAAGAGGCATGGTTTGAGTTAAAAAAAAAAAAAAAAAAAAACTAAAAAAAAAAAAAAAAAAGTACAATACTCCCTGCTTTACGCCACCACCAGGGAGTAGTACAATACTCCCTGCTTTACGCCACCACCAGGGAGTAGTACAATACTCCCTGCTTTACGCCACCACCAGGGAGTAGTACAATACTCCCTGCTTTACGCCACCACCAGGGAGTAGTACAATACTCCCTGCTTTACGCCACCACCAGGGAGTAGTACAATACTCCCTGCTTTACGCCACCACCAGGGAGTAGTACAATACTCCCTGCTTTACGCCACCACCAGGGAGTAGTACAATACTCCCTGCTTTACGCCACCACCAGGGAGTAGTACAATACTCCCTGCTTTACGCCACCACCAGGGAGTAGTACAATACTCCCTGCTTTACGCCACCACCAGGGAGTAGTACAATACTCCCTGCTTTACGCCACCACCAGGGAGTAGTACAATACTCCCTGCTTTACGCCACCACCAGGGAGTAGTACAATACTCCCTGCTTTACGCCACCACCAGGGAGTAGTACAATTATTGAATACTCCCTGCTTTACGCCACCACCAGGGAGTAGTACAATACTCCCTGCTTTACGCCACCACCAGGGAGTAGTACAATACTCCCTGCTTTACGCCACCACCAGGGAGTAGTACAATACTCCCTGCTTTACGCCACCACCAGGGAGTAGTACAATACTCCCTGCTTTACGCCACCACCAGGGAGTAGTACAATACTCCCTGCTTTACGCCACCACCAGGGAGTAGTACAATACTCCCTGGCCACCACAGGCCATGATGCAGAACTCTGGTCGGGCCCCCAGGCCAGGGCACATTCAGACACATGTAAACAGTTACACGCAATTTGCTAGTCGGTAAAGCCGGACTCCATCAATCACGTTTATGTGCATTCTGTCAATCTGAAGTCCTGTCTGAATATATTTTTTTTAAATGCAGTCAGCCGGATTTGGGGCCGCATCACCGGACGTGTTGAGGAATACATCAAGCAAAGGTGTTCGCATCGGCGGGCCACCACTACGCCCATAGTGCATCCCACAACTACACACAGACAGTCACAAGGCTAGCGAGACGGAGAGGAGTGCAGGAGGCACTGCCAAAACATTTCGTTAAATACACATGCACGACGCGTCAAAACTGAACGACGACAACATAAACGAGGCCAGAAAAAGCACAGCTGCACGCTGCTCGTGCCAGATACCCAGCAGAACGAGAGAAAGAACGTGAGAAAGGATGCGAGAGTGAGTGAGCAAAGAACAGGGTGCGAATCACTCCCATGCACAGCATAGGGGTGGTGGATGGACAAAATCACGAGGCAGGAAAAGAATACCATCCGGAAATAGGAATAGAATATTTGGACAAACAAAACACGAGCACGCACCTGACGGAACCGATGAATGCAAGACCGTGGGCAGCTATCGCAGCACCAGGGAGAGTAAGCCGATATGTGACACGCATGCGGATGGCCGCAGTACATTGTACACACTCAGGTTCGTACTCTCTCGCACACGACTCGAATTGACACGTCCACACTTCACGCCACGATAAAAACGAAAAAAGAAAGGAAGAGAGAAACAGCGATCTCTTGCCATAATAATACCAGCGGGGACATCTCGGACAAACACTTACACACACACACACACAGGTGAATAAAAAAGGTAACACTCACACACAAAAACTCCATCTCGTTTCATAGCATCTGGCAAAAAATAAATAGCTCCATAAAGAAAGAAAAAGGAGACAGAACACGGTTAACGACAGCTTGGTAAGCACAGCAGAGACGGTAAGCTAAACAATATTGGCTGCATTCTCGTCTCGTCGGAGGCAAGGCAGCGGAGAAAATCACACCACAGAACAGCGTTAGAGGCACCGGCATGATAATAATTATACTTTACGTCCAGCGATGGACAGATAAAAACGAAAATACTTGGCTACCGAGAAAAAAATTCTATCGGGGTTGGTTGGGGGGGGGGGGGGGGCAGGACACACACGGGGTGATTTGTCACAGAGTAATGCCAGGTGCTCTCCACTGAGAAGTGTACACAGGCGGCAATAGTAGTAGTAGTAGTAGTAGTAGTAGTAGTAGTAGAGTGGGTGCTCTCGCCAAGCCTGGCTGCTGGACGGGCCGGCAGCGGGTAAGCGTCTGTGTTCGCACGCCCAGGTCACACGCGTGTAGGTGCGCAGGCGCACACACGTCTACATACGTATCAAATCGCCATCGGGATCTCAAGTGGAGTCCAGTGCCGGTGACAGTGTGGGTGGTCAGGAACGGTGCTGATCACAAGCTTGTTTCTTGCGGAGCGTTCACACATGCACATCAGCTTTCTACACCGTAAGGACGGGCTCAGCTAACGAACCTACCTAAGGAATAAGCCTACAAACAAGGGACTTGGCCGACGGCAGGTCAACGGTGCTCACCGAAAAACGTCACCCAGAGGAGGTCCGGTTGGACCGTGCAATGGAAACGTGGGCGACTGCCTGCGATGGAATACAGGCGAGGAGGCGTTGTGCATCTGCTTGTGCTGCTGCTGCTGCTGTATGGCTGCACCGGTGAGAGCAGCACCACTCGGTGACAGCGACGACGCGTGGGCAAACTTGATCACTGGCTGCGGACTGCGGCCCTGCTGCGCCATCGGGTTGGCAAACACCTGGCCGTTCATCTGGCCGGGGGGAGTGGGCGTGCCGACACGACACTGCATGTGAGCCAGCTGAGTCTGCTGGCGAGCGAGCTCCTGCTGCTGCAACAGCAGGGCGCGCTGCCGCTCCTCCAGCTTCTCCTTCTGCCGCAGCAGCTCCTGCTGTTTGGCGGTCCACGACATGTCGGCAGCGGTGGAGTTGGCGGTGTTGACAATACCGGGGAACGCTACACCACCGCCAACAGGAGGAATGGGCGAAGACGGCGCTGTACGCGGATGCAGCTGCTGGTGCTGGTGCTGCGAAAAGGCAGGCAACGTGTGTGTATTCTGCGAGCCGCCGAACCCCATCAGGCCGTTATCTGACCGTGCGCCTGCAGTGGAACTGCTGCCAATGGCGCCGCTCGCAAAGCTGTTGACGTTGGACGTAGCCGGTTGTGGCGCGGGGTTGAAGGGCGCGGCGTCAAACGGGTCCGAGTGGAAGAGCACGCCGGTGACGTCGGAGGACACGCGCCGATGACCGGTCACCGCCCTAGTGTTGGTCTGGAAGACCGGCGCACCAAACGCATCCACTGCCTGGTGCTGATGCTGCTGCTGCGGTGGCGGCATTCCCCCAGCAGCAGAGCCCGAGCCCGAGCCACTGTCCAGACTGCTGCTAAACGAGGACATGTTGAACGGATCGCTGTTGGTAGCAGCCCGGGCTGGCGCGGTGGCCGGAACATTGATGGCGACAGCAGCGTGGGGAATCGGGCTGGTGGCGCGAGGCGATGATGGCTGCGACACAACTGAAGGAGCTGCAGGTGCTTGCTCGCCGAACGGCGTTAAGTCAAACATATCCCTGCTGCCCGAAGCCATGGAAACAGACGGAGGCGCGGAATGAGTTGGGGGTGCGAAGACGGCCGCACCGAACGGGTCGACAGCAGCCTCCTCCGCAATAGACACGGTCGGATTGCACGGCGCGTCCATCCTGTCGTCAGCACCACCGCGCGGATCAAACGAGTCGCTGGACATGACCGAGCCGACGCTGGGGGACTTGGAGCGCCGCGACCGTGTGGCTGACACCGGCTGTGCACCGGCGGCGGACTGAGACGCCGCCGATGACGGTGCTGCTGCTGGCACAGGAGCGATGCCGAAGGCCGGCGCACCAAACGCATCCACTGCTGCTGCCGACTGGGACGACGTCGATGATGACGGCGGTCCAGTTGACTTGGACCTGACAGAGCCGACGGGGACACGGCGATGACGCATCGCTCCCGGTGCGGCGGCCGACTGAAGTGGAGCGCCGGCGGTGGTTGCGACAGCAGCAGTCGCAGGCGCAAACGTGCTGGCGCCAAACGCGTCGACGGCAGCTGGCGCCGTAGCCGGTGCCGCTGCTGCGGACGGGACGTGTGCTGCTGCCGTGCTGCTGGGTGCATTGCCGCTGCCACCGGGATTGGCTTTGGGACGCTGGCGGGGCGTGAGCGACGTCTGCGTCACCGTCTGCGCATTCTGAGCTTGCAAACTGCACAGCACAACACAACACACAGTACAGAGAGGGTGGCATGCTTAGCGGCAAATTCGGAAAAAAAAAGATCGAACACATTCTCCTTGGATAATCAACACAGGGTTTTCTAATTTATACGAAAATAACAATTACACCTGTGAAAAGGACGATTTCCCAAAGGAATGGAAATTCAAGAGAAATACAATGTTGAATCAGATGTACATTTCCACAACCATGGGGGGGGGGGGGAAACGCTAGAATAACGAGACTCCCTGGCACGCCTCAACACCGCACTTTCATGCCAACTGAAGAGCTCCAATGTACAGTCATGGCAAGCGACACACTTGGAAAAAGGGACTACGCAACGCAGTGTGCGGCCCTTGCAGCCCTGCATACGTAGTACACGTCTTACTTACAACTTTTATCGGTCTCATGACAGTACTCGTACTCATCACAGTCAAGGTTCACCTGAAAGGTTAAAAGGTGCTCCCAAAATCATATGAATGGGCGCGTACTGAGTATATCATCCCGTGACGACCACATTGAAGTCTGAATTTGAAGTGTGAAGATGCTTCAGCAACCACTTCGTACTTTTCCATTGCTTTTAGTTTATTGTACTTCCACTGTGCATGTGACTGGGCACTGGATGCCAATACTCCCTTATGTGTACCATGTCGGTGAACCGTGTGTTTCTACGTTGTGACCTTTCGACCTGTCTGGGATGCCTACGGCTCTGACGTACAAATTAGGTGCAGTGCATTACATCATCGATGTCCATTTGTCACGGCTGTTCACGCGCAGGCACTTATAAATATGGCGTCGTTCGGTGCGATTTATGTAACATTGTGCGAATGGTACAAATACGCGATGAGTTTGCGTTTTTCGAAGAAACTCATGTCGATCCTCGCGTGGTTCCACGATTTGGGACGCGAAACCAAGAGAACAGTTTTGAAAGCGCTCAAGCGAGATACTCGACTTTTCTGCAATTTGAGAGAGAAAGAGGGTGGAAAGGCGAAACTCATGTCGATCCTCGCGTGGTTCCACGATTTGGGACGCGAAACCAAGAGAACAGTTTTGAAAGCGCTCAAGCGAGATACTCGACTTTTCTGCAATTTGAGAGAGAAAGAGGGTGGAAAGGCGTCCTGGCCTGCCCAGTTAGCTGTCTTTCCGCTTCAAACTTGCTCGAACTACTCCTGGCAGTCTGGAGATTGATCTCGCCAATGATTGTCAGCCTCTGCTTGGCGTGCTCGCGTGTACAACATTCAAGTTAGACATTTCGTAATCGTTCGACGCACAATAGGGTAGATATCACAATTTCAAGCTCACTTGGCCGGCTGCTGTCTTCTTCTACCATATCCCACACGACGACTAAGCAATTTACAGCAGGAAGCAGCCTTCTACACTCAACAGCAACTAAAGGGCCACACCATTTGTCTTCCAAATCAAGAGAAAACAGGCTCCTGACTCTTCGCGCGTATTTAGAAGTTCAAGTGCATATTCTAATGACACTTGGGGAAGACAACCAGAGGGTAGTCCTCTACCTGGGAAAATATCGATCTAAGCTGGGAAAAAATCGATCTAAGCTGGGAAAAAATCGGGAAGGGCTTCTGGGAGCCGAGTTTGTCAGCGACGACACAAGGAGTATTCCAGAACGAAGCCAAAGTCACACGACACAGAACAAATGTTTCTTGAAGGAAAGGCAGTCATGTGAGGTACGAGCGGAAAGCTTGAAACAAGACGCAGATGATCAGCGTGTTCCCCGGGCTGTCCGGGCTGACTAGTCTTCAAAATCCAGGGGAAACCATGGCCTACTCGTGTTTTGACGATTTGAAAATTCAAATTTTCTTGCCATTGAAGCCCAATCGAGACTTTCGGCGGCCATATTGTTAAGTGGCGTGAAATCGCATAAAAAAACAGCCGTGTTGTGGCGCTGTCCCCTATGGCCAGTGTCGGATTTCGCTTGCCACGAGTGTAGACAGTCTTCGCCCTCCCTGGGTGCATCAGGCAAACGCCGCGTAGGCCCCCGGTGCTACTTCCACAACCAACTTTTTTAAACGAAAAGCAAAACAGAAAATAATAATTTTTAAAGAAAGAGAAAAATGAAATTTGATACTAAAGTCCATGTCAAAACTATAGACGCGTACCTAGGCAAAAACCGTTATGCCAGCATCTATACCACATAAAATCTGTGATCACTTTGTGCATAAAATTTTCCAAATTGGGCATCTGTTATCCAATCGTTTAGAAACTATGAGAGTAATTGTGGAGCGGACCTGAGCAATATTCCGAAAACTACTCTCAAAAAGCTCCAGCCAAATTTGAAATATTTCAAAAACCCTACGCGTCTATAGTTTTGAAATAGACTGTAGTAGTCCACACACGATGATAACTCCATTCACGATAGTCCCTGTTAGATCTGCCTGCGCCTATGACCCGTGTTACCCCACGACCAACTAGGGGACAACGCACAAAAACAAAAAAAACATCTAGTACTAATTATCCTGTGACGAAAGATGCAGGGCTTGACCAGCATGGCTGCTGCGGATGGTTCTGTGATACATGTGAAAGCACTATATTGAAGGAAGGCTTATGTCTACCAGAGGACGAGGGAGCAGCCACCCATGGCGAAAGAAAAGGCAGTCGGACTCGCCAACACAACAAGCACAAAGAGGCTGCATGAACTTACGACTGTTTGCGCTCGTGACGCTTCTGTCCCAGTGGAGGCGGATCGGGCAAGTGAGTGGGAATGGGCGAGTTCTGTCAACAAACGCAGGGAATAACAATACACAAGAGTAGGGAGGAAGAGATCATTAGACTCAGGAATTGTGTATGCTGTCTGATAATCATCCAGTGTGTAATATTTTTGGCGTTTACAGCTTAACAGCCTTTCATTTTCCGTATCAGTGTATACGAGTATACTGCTCTGCACTTTGCATGGAGCACTCTTGCAGCCCAGACTGGTCCTCATTGGATACAGTCGTCCGTCCTTAATCTAGAATACTATAGACCAGCACTCCCAATACAGTCAACTTTGCGTATAACGACACTCGACCGGGCATCAGAAAAGTGTCGTTATTCGCGAAGTGTCGATATACCCGAAGTCTCATTATATGTATACAGGTAGAATGGACTTTGCTCTGGGCATGGAAATTCTGTCGTTACTCGCGAATTGTCGTTAAATCCGCAGTGGTTATTAGCGAAGTTGACTGTATACCACCATAATTTTCGGCAACTGAAATGTCCTATTCATACTGGCTGCACCAATAGATCAGATTTGATAATCCAGCACTCTCCTAAATTCAGCAGAATGTCCATAGCACAGATGGTGGCAGATTAGAGAGGGACCACTGTATGAAGAGCATGATGCTCAACTCCAAAGTAGCGGCTGGCGGAATTCGGGTCAACAACTCGGTATACATGTACTAACATCAGGGAATGCCCCGAATCTCAAACAAGAAATTCCTAAAACGTCTCCACACCCAATCCAGACACAGTTAAAGAGAAAACATCAGAAAAACCAAGACCCAGCTCGCTCTGAAAGGACTATTAAAGGGGAAGTTAAGGCAAAAATTAAAATTTCACCAGTTGTAGTCTTCGAGGTGCTGAGTCGAATGGTCTTGGTCCGAGAAAGCTGAGACGCTCCCTTCCTACTTGAATCCCAATCGAACTCGCGCACTTCCACCGAAACTGGGTGACTGCGCCCTACTAGATGAGGATTTGTATGCAAAATGTCACTAAAAGCGCCATTTCGTTCTTATAAAAGCACGGATGACCGCAATTGGCCCATATGTTGTACTCTTTTGGACGCTAAGTCGACTGGTTTTGGTCCGAAAAGGCTGCGATGCAGCGTTCCTCCTTTATTCCCAATCGAACATGGTTGAACAAGCGGTCACGTGCTCCTGGGGGCCCAAATCACCTGGTCACCACGCCAGCAGGCGACAACTTTCACACCAAGGTTCAACTCGAGTTCAACTCGAGTGACAGGACTGCACCCAAAAAAGGTCAAACACGCTAGTAAGTTGTACCCTGCAGGCACGGTGACCAGGTGACTGGTGTTCGCAGGAGCACGTGACCGCTTGTTCAACCATGTTCGGTTGGGAATAAAGGAGGAACGATGCATCGCAGCCTTTTCGGACCAAAACCAATCGACTCAGCGTCCAAAAGACTACAACATATGAGCCAATCGCGGTCATCCATGCTTTTATAAGAACGAAATGGCGCTTTTAGTGACATTTTGCATACAAATCCCCATCTAGTAGGGCGCAGTCACCCAGTTTCGGTGGAAGTACGCGAGTTCGATTGGGATTCAAGTAGGAAGGGAGCGTCTCAGCTTTCTCGGACCACGACCATTCGACTCAGCACCCCGAAGACTACAACTGGTGAAATTTTAATGTTTGCCTTAACTTCCCCTTTAATAGCCATGCAAGCCATCTAGCATACATGAATAGCTGCACGGGCAGTGTATTGTTCATCCATCACTCACAAAGCTATTCTTGACGGTCAGTGGCAGCTGGGTCATGTTACTAACGACGTATGCCACCTGGAAGATATCCGGCCGCTCGTCCGCGTCCACGGTCAGTAGATAGCCTGTGGGCACGTGAACACACACAGACACACACACACACACACACACCCACACACAAACCCACACAAAAGGACAAGCAAGGGTTTGACATGTGCCAGATGACAGCCCTCTACAGGACTACATAACACTACAAACACACATGCACAGAGCTAGGCAGTAAAATCCAACCAGGGACGTTTTATTTTCTGAATTCTCAGCGGAGCAGCCTTTGATGGCCTGAAGCAGGTCTCGCAGGATTCCATCTTACGGGATGTACATGTTCACAAACGAACAACTGAGAATCACACAGGTAGACAGAGAGAGCGGCACGCACAGACACAGAGACACACACACATAGACACACATAGACACACACAGACACACACAGACACACACAGACACACACACATAGGAAAACTCACAGATTAGAGAGTGGAGCGATCGGGAATAGGGCGAGTTCTCGGGCAGCTTGAAGTTCCCCTCCATGATTGCCACCATGCTCTCACCAAACGCCAGCGTGAAGAAGCACATCTTATATAGCATCACACCCAATGCCTGTAAGCGCAACATATGCACATACGCATGCAAACACACACACACACATACACCCATGGGCATGCGCACACACACACACACACACACACACACACACACACACACACACACACACACACACAGTGCGGACAAACATGCATGCAAAACCGGTCATAGGACGTCAGCCTAGAGGAAGAGCCATGCTTCAATGCACTCGTTGGTGCACAGGCACACAGTGGCCCAACAGAAACACACGGACACAGACAGACAGACAGACACACACACAGTTGAGCTTACCCAGATATCCGATTTGGTGCCTATCGTCTTGTTTGAGTAGAGGTCAACCATTTCAGGAGATCGATAGGATAATGTCGTAAAGCGTTGTAGATCCTCCTCGATACCATGCACATTTTCCAACTGAGGTGAGAAACACAGACAGGGAGAGAACAACATTAGGCTCAGTTCTTGAAGAGAAACACACACACACACACACACACACATTTAAGTCATGTACAGTGAAACCTGACTAAGCCGACTGCTCAAGGGACCTTCAAAACGTGGTCCCTGTGTACAGGTGGTCTCCTTATCCAGGGTCATTTTACAGGAAATCACATCTCTTGAGCCCAGTTGTAGTGGTCCGCTGGGACAGGTGGTCACATTGACAGGTTTTACTGAAGTACCAGCGTACATGTCTGTTGGATATGGTGCGCTACACGATTGATGCATGATTGCCTACACGTGTGTGTTCGTTTGTTACACACACGTGTAGGCAATCATGCATCAATCGTGTAGCGCACCTTATCCAACAATGTACATGAAAACTCTGTGGCCATCTTCAATAGGTCCGTCGAATAGTAGTAATAGGTTTTTCATTTGACCCGACGAGACCACACGACGCTTGCAGATCACAGCACGAACAGTTCACCAGCCACACTCCACGACAGCAAGTAGTGCTGTGATCTGCAAGCGTCGTGTGGTCTCGTCGGGTCAAATGAAAAACCTATTACTAATGTACATGAAAACCTGGATGAGCAGGCAGGATGGGATAGATAGCACCAATGCCAACACCCCTAAGGCCACATCAACCGTAGTGAACTAGTGATCCAGAGCGAGCTGGCAAGACTTTGCAAGTACTGTGCCAGCCAATGAATTTCGCTAGCGTGAACACAGCAGCAGCGCTGCGCTCCAGTGCACGGCCCAGGGTTGGCCAGTGCTAGCGTCACGCACCACTCACCATAATTCCATTTAGGGGAGGGGGGTATGTGTTTCACTGGTATGTCTGGTCACGCATGCATCTACAATGCAGTCAGGAGCCTCAGGAGCGCTATGCCACCTGACCTGGCCCTGCTCGCTTGCGTGGACAACGATGAAATCCAGGAATTGCGCCCAAAACAGCCAACCGGCCCAAGCTGGATACTCTGGCTTTTATGTTCTACGGGCAGTGCAGACTGATATCAGAACATGCAGAATGAGATATGTCCGGACATGAGAATAACGGGCTGGTGAGGAGAGTGAGGAACAGAAATAAAGGGAGCGACAAAGGGTGGAAGACAGGTGGATTGGAAAGTGATGGCAAGACAACAAGACAGCACAACCACGTACAGAGAGAGAGAGAGAGAGAGAGAGAGAGAGAGAGAGAGAGAGAGAGAGAGAGAGAGAGAGAGAGAGAGAGAGAGAGAGAGAGAGAGAGAGAGAGAGAGAGAGAGAGAGAGAGAGAGAGAGAGAAGAGAGAGAGAGAGAGAGAGAGACCGGACAAGTGCAAGAGGAATCGCATGCTTCTCCAGAACACCCTGGATAAAGCACGACTGAATTTGCACAACCACAAACTATAGATGCGGCTCTCAAGACAACACACATCACACAGGGCATACCGAAGGCGTAACGGTTGTTCGTGTACAGCTTCCAAAGTCACACAGCTTATACAGATCTCCTTGAATTAGGACATTCTCCACCTTATCAAAAGTAGAGAAAAAAGACACACAAAAACAAACGAAAAAGCATTAAAAAACAACAGCTGCAGGAGTAAATGTACTTTGACAATTGTGTGAGTTTGGGGTTAATACAAAGTGCGGTCAGACTCCCTTGAGCCGTACACCCCGACTCGAACACCCTACCCCAAATCGCCTCCCTCATTGGCCCAGCACACATACATCATAGAAAAGAGACGTACCTTCAAGTCTCGATGAATAACTGGCGTCTCCGATTGGTGCAGCGAGGCAATAGCTTTGACCACATCGTAGAAAATGCGAAGCACCTGGGGTTCCGGCAACTTACGTCCCTCCGAAAAATGTTGGTTCATCAACTCCAGCAGATTGCCAGCTGAGCATAATGGGAGAGAAAGAAAGAGAAATGAACTTGAAACGAGTGTCCAATGGTGCAGAACTACAATACAGACAACTTCGCTAATAACGACTGCGGATATAACGACAATTCGCAAATAACGACAGAATTCCCATGCCCAGAGCAAAGTCCCATCCAACTGTAATACATAATTATAATGAGACTTTGGGTATAATGACACTTCGCAAGTAAGGACACTTTTCTGATGCCCCAAAGAGTGTCGTTATACGCAAGGTTGACTGTACTGGCAGTTGGTAAACTCCGCGTCCCATCCGGAATCACACAATCGAACTGTCAGACCATGCACAGTGGGTGCATACTGCTAAATCTTGTATTGCGTGAAGGGAGGCTGGCATCTCCTACCTCTCATATCTCAATCATGGTCTTAGACCAACCCACTCACTGTGCCTGCCTGGTTTACTGACCAGATAGGCATGGCACGTGCATTGTGCGCATGTGCGGGCGTGCACACACACACACACGCACACACACACACACACACGCACACACACACACACACACGCACACACACACACACACACACACACACACACACACACACACACACACACACACACACTTGTTGTACTTGTACTTGTTGCTCACTGCCAAAACTGGTCACGTGGGTCTCCCCGGGAGAGGGGAGAGAGACTCAAAGGGAATCTTGGAAAGATGACTCAATTGGCTATTGAACCGCCCAACGGCCGACACCCCCTGAAATCCCCAAAACTCTGGGTGGACTTGAAAATGATCCCACTTATGGGCTTACCACACCTCAGTAAGTGGGTGAGGACAAGGTGCAGAAAAAGGATTGACGGCATCAGGTTATCCGTCCTGGGATCCAATTGCAGTTACCCCTGCCCCCAGTGAAGGTAATACTTGCTACTAGTGTGGGTGGCTAAATCAGAGTGGATCTGATATAAGCTTCACTAGCACCATTGATTACACAAGAGTTAATCTAGCCAGAAGCAGTTCATGGTTAACAGGTATGTATACTTCAAATAGAAACTACCCTGGAACCAACAAAGGTGGCAGGTACAACATTACACCTTCAAGCAGCCGAGCCCGTTGGCAACAGACCCAACACAATCAGGCAGACGTGTACCCACCAACCGAACTAGCTGGCACGATTGCGTTAGCGCTACACTCCATGTTGACACTGCCCACGTAGAACACAGATTTTGCGACTTTTTCTACGCCTGTGAGGATGTTGCGGTTAGATGGGGCCACAGGCTTCACGTACCGGGACGTGACCCGACGCCGTACAACTTCGGCACGAGGCGACATAGCAGAACTACGCCAAAGTATCGGCAGGCTCCTCCGGAGTGTGGAGCATGACCACGTGCCAGAAAAGTCCAACCATCAAGCACAACGTACAGTTTACTGACCGAAGTCTGTTCTCGCCTGGGGGTGAGTTCTACACTCTCTACCCAAAGCGGTGACGGCAGAGGCTCACATCACATGACATGGTAGTGGTGCCCAGTGCAATGTAACAATTTCAGCAAAACGAATGCCATCACATACAGCGATGCAAAGCGGCGATACGAGCATGCAGACGAGCGAGTTCACATTCACCCTGAGTGTATCGTTTAACGTTAACATGCAACTACTCGTGTGCCGTGTTGGGATATAAACTACTCTGGGTGTAACATACTATGGGAATTTTTTCTTCAGACTTTTCCCGTTCGCGTCTTTCCAGCACAGATGTTTATGTATGCCCCTTGCAGGTATGGCTAACAGTGAAGTTTCACTTAAAGGGGAAGTTAAGGCAAAAATTAAAATTTCACCAGTTGTTGTCTTCGGGGTGCTGAGTCGAATGGTCTTGGTCCGAGGAAGCTGAGACGCTCCCTTCCTACTTGAATCCCAATCGAACTCGCGCACTTCCACCGAAACTGGGTGACTGGGCCCTACTAGATGGGGATTTGTATGCAAAATCTCACTAAAAGCGCCATTTCGTTCTTATAAAAGCATGGATGACCGCGATTGGCCCATATGTTGTAGTCTTTTGGACGCTCAGTCGATTGGTTTTGGTCCGAAAAGGCTGCGATGCAGCGTTCTTCCTTTATTCCCAATCGAACATGGTTGAACAAGCGGTCACGTGCTCCTGCGTACGCCAGTCACCTGGTCACCGTGCCTGCTGGGTACAACTTACTAGCCTGTTTGACCTTTTTTGGGTGCAGTCCTGTCACTCGAGTTGAACTCGAGTTGAACCTTGGTGTGAAAGTTGTCGCCTGCTGGCGTGGTGACCAGGTGATTTGGGCACCCAGGAGCACGTGACCGCTTCTTCAACCATGTTCGATTGGGAATAAAGGAGGAACGCTGCATCGCAGCCTTTTCGGACCAAAACCAGTCGACTCAGCGTCCAAAGGACTACAACATATGGGCCAATCGCGGTCATCCGTGCTTTTATAAGAACGAAATGGCACTTTTAGTGACATTTTGCATATAAAACCCCATCTCGTAGGGCGCAGTCACCCAGTTTCGGTGGAAGTGCGCGAGTTCGATTGGGATTCAAGTAGGAAGGGAGCGTCTCAGCTTCCTCGGACCAAGACCATTCGACTCAGCACCCCGAAGACTACAACTGGTGAAATTTTAATTTTTTCCTTAACTTCCCCTTTAAGTACGAGATCGTGGTAGCGACTTCGGCGATGATTGCACAGGAAAGGTGTTTGCTCCCCACACCGGACCTCGCTCTTTTGCGCCGACTTGACGTGGCACTTGACGGACTCTCCAGTCACGACTGCCATCCAGACTGAGAGCGGACGAGAAGTCCATCGAACCGCCCACTGCAAGTGACATGATTATGGCTGCCTGGTGACAGTCACATGTACTTACAGGTACAGAACTCCATCAGCATGAGCACTTCGTGGATGTCACCACCCTGGCTGTTGATCGCTGACTGCTCCAGGCGCACGACGTTCGGGTTGCTGCGGTTCGTCCGCTGCACAGTGGCACGGACGCACAATCGCATGCAAACAGGACAGCACACGCACACAAACATGTACCACGTACATACACAAACATGAACGTGTACATACACAAACACACATGTACACACATGCACATGTATTTGTATTTTATTATATTTTTAAGGATTTCCCAAAGGCTTTGGGCCTGCGCACTCTTTCTCCCCCACACACACGCACCATGTACACACACACCATGTACACACACACACACACACACACACACACACACACACACACGCACCATGCACCATGTAGACACGCATGCGCATGCATACATACACAGGGGCAAATGCCATACCGGGCCAACAACGGGCCAACACCGTCTAGCACCAATATCATCAAGAGTACATGAAAACCAGAGTGTGCAGCTTGGGGCCTTTTCTGCTATGGGTGTCTGTCACGGCGAAATTCCGTGATTACATCATATTTGGCCCAGATCTGAGGCGGGAAATGGCGTAGTGCGTACAACTGAGCTGCAGTTGTGCAGAAAGAGACCTGCTTGAATCCTGCTTGTACGCACTACATCACTAAAATGATGTAATCACGGAATTTCGCCGTGACAGCAACCCATCCGAGCTGCACACTCTGGTTTTCATGTACTCTTGATATCATACATGACTCACTTTACTCGTGTAATCCCAACAGGGAGTCTTGTCTCTCAGACGAGTATGGATCTAGATGCATGTTAGCCTTTGCAGAAATTTCATTTAGGCCAGAGGTTCAGAGATTTGTTCGTGTGCTAAGTTGCAAAGTGAATGTACATGTGATTCTATCTTGCCCTGGGTCAGGAAATTTACCACCTGGGTAATACGTACTGGACATGCAACAGCTGTCAATAATGTACCAAACATTCAAATTATTTGCAAGAAACAAAACTGGATTTTCTTCAGTCAGTGCTAGCTAGTAGTACCATGCACTCGTACAGCAGGTCAGCAGATACTACAGCGGTGAACATTGTCGTGTTTATGATAACAACAAGATGTACGCGTGCGTGCTCAGGTCGAAGTTGTACCACCCGCGACTCACCATGACGAAAATTTCCCTTTGACAATTTCGCAGATCCTCTTGATTGTTCACCAGGACCCGCTTGAGGGCCCAGCATTTAGCACCTGGCTCATTGAAATTGCTCGTGCTTTTCGCCAGGAAAACGATCCCATAGCCACCTGAAGCAGAAACGGCACAGAACAAAGCGTCCACACTTCGTTTGAGAAGGTCCAGTGTACGGGGCTAGCTGATAAACCAGATCAACCAGCAAACTGACCTTCGGCAATAATTTTATGGACAAACACGACTGTGCCACTGACATTGTAGGATTTGCCAAGGTAGCTATCCAAGTGGGCATGCCGTGCAGGGGCTGCCATGGAGCCTTCTTGCACCCAGGAGGACTAGAAACAGTGGGAACAGCCTTTGGGACGTCTCCAATTCTAGGTTTCTGACAGTATGTGGTCTAAATTCAGCGGCAGGCCGTGTGCCTATTTGGCTCGACAAGAGCAATGTTGGTGCCAGTGCGAAATGTTCCACCACAAGAAAAGTATGTACGCCAGCTCCTGGAGTAATGGCCCAATCTGCGGAGGTGCTTCTCTCTCCGCGGCAAGCAGCCAAGAAGGCCCGTCATTCATCAAAACATTGAACAATTTTTTATCGACAGACACCAAGCAAGTGGTACACTGCACTGACTGGCTGTACAAAAGTGTAGCCGAAGCAAGCATGGGTAAATCTACCCGCGTACTATCATGTACGGTGTGTGGTCTGGTCAGTCACTACAAATGACAAGTCAGTGCAGTACACGCACACTGTACCTTGCATGCATGCATGCAGTGAGCTTGCAACCAGGGAGTCGTAAAATACTTTACGACTCCCAGTCCCTGCTTGCAACACGACCTCATGTGATGCATCGATGATGCAGATGCACCCACATGCACAGTCTAGTGTGTGGCATGGTGGTCCCATGTGTGTTCTGCAGCATGGAGTGGAAATCTCGAAGTGTGAGCTTCATCAGTTTCATGCATGTTCCGGTACTAGACGTGTGTAGCTGTGTTGCGGGCAGTGTGCTATCAGAAAAACCACTCTGTGGCCAGGGTGGGTGCATCCAGCCAGGCCAGTCGGAGATATGAGACAGTGAGAGAGTCACCTGGTCACCCAGCTGCCAACTCACTGCTCAGGCCAGTATCAGGTCAGGCCTCTCTGACCGGTCCAGCAGCAGGAAGTCGTCAACAATTTTTACATGATCATGTGACACAGTCGTGTACTGTAAAGTGAGAAACTTTCGCTAGAGATTAAATTTCGCGACCATCACACATTCGCGAATATACATCGCCGCAAACCTCTCCATACATTGATTGTTGTAGACAGTACAAAATCCGACTGTAGTAGTAGTAGTAGAATTTATTATTTTGATAGGGAAGGCCCTACAGACGTTGCCGTCTTGTTACAGGGAACCCTAAGACTGAAGAGATAGAATCGCAAACGTTTCTCGTCGTGAACCAGCCCGATTTATGAAAACGCTAAATTTGCACGCCGCGAAAGTTTGTCGCTTTACAGTACATGCATGTCGTGTACAGCCTACAGGATTGGTATGTGTATCATTTTGGCATATCTGGTGGCAAGCGTCACATTCATGTACATGTGTATAGCAGCATTCCTGCTGGTACATGCATGTTGTTGTTGTTGTTGTTGCTGTTACTTTATTTTACTTCACCAGAATTACAGGCAGTAGAATGCCTTCTCACTAGACCAGGTCTAGTTCTCATGTACATGTACATGTACCACGGTCATTAGAATAGGGTTGCCAATAAATGAGTTTGTGCATCAGTAGGGTCCGGCGGATTCTGCCGGCAGAAAAATTGGCAGAATCCGGTACTTTTTCTGGTAAGTTTCATGCATGTTTGGTATGTGGATAAAGAAATGGAGCAGAATTCGATGAATTGCCCGCCATAAAAATAAGGTTTGTATGGTTCTGCCAATTTCACTGCTTTTCGAGCAGAATCTACCACCTTTTCGAGCATAATCCGCCGGTCCCTATGCATCAGTGCATGCATCTTCACATCCATGACTACACGTGACTCACTCGGGCCATACATTCGTTGGCATCTGCAGCATGGCCGGAGCATCCGGGCCTATGAAAGCAATTTTGTTAATAACAGCTGATCCAATGTTACATTGTATGTCATGACATGTGTTCAGTCCTGAATCAAACCCTTGCCATTTACATGTACATGTACATGTATGCACAACATCAGCGGCTTGAGCAGCGCAGAAGGGGGATATAGCATTGTGTTATAGGGTGATCAATGGCTCCGTGGCAGGGGAATTTCCCTAGCATTATTCGATGTAAGACCATCATTGTCATATGAGCAGTTTGAATATAGCCGGTGTTTACATGTTCTGTGGGAGACAATGCTGTCTTTAAGATTGATGTTTTAGGTACGAAAGACCGATGAGTGCACGGTTGTCATGAAACTCTGATTTACAACCCGCGTTATAGCCTTTCTGTCCTGTGTCTACTGTTTGACTATGGTGTGTTTAGGTACATAGGATCTGTGCCTTGCTTTGTCAAAGTGCACGGTGTATGAGGTAGGACGGCTTGCCCTGCAAAGCCGGCATCATGTTATGCATGGTGATTTGAAGGTACATCCATGCGGCATTATTATACTCTTACACCATTGGGTATGACATTTTGTCCTACATCACTCGCGGGCTTGCTTGCCAGTGCTGCATTCCAGTACTAGAGATGCCAGCCATGTCGGGATACGATCCAGGCGTCGTCGGCAACAGACCCGTCCTCGTTCCGAACGTACTGCACGCGCAGGTGCGTGCCGTTGGCAACGTGAACGCGAGCGTAGCCGTAGTCGATGCCACGGTGACGGCTCCACGGGTGGGCATCCCAGCGATCAAAGTCCTGACTCGCGCCGCCCGTTCCCACTAGTAGGTGCACGGTTGCTTCGGCCATGCCCGATATTAAGCTCTGTCGGCATGTCCCATTGTACACCGGGCACGTCCGCTCGTAGGCATGGTAGTGCCCTCCGAAGAACACGTCGACGCCGTATCGGTACAGGACATCTTCGTACGCCGCTCGCTGGTGTAGCTGGACAATGTAGTTATCCTTGGCGGTGATTTCGTCGACGGAGCGGCTGCAGTACATGGGTCGATGGCCCATGACGAACACCCACGGCGTGCGCGTGCGGTTGACGGCGTCCAAGTCGGCGACCAGGAACTTGTGCATGTCACTGCCGGGGTAGAAGTCGTGCTCCGTCGACAGCCACACGACGTGAATCAGACCGTGGTCGTGCGAGTACCAGAACGGCTGCAGGCTCTGCGCCGCCGTCGACGGCATGCTGAAGCGGCTCACGATCGGAGCAGCGCACTCGCCACCAGAGTCGTCGCCGTACACGCCCCAGGAGGGGTGGTACCCCTGGTCTGGGGCACCGCTGGGATCCCGCGTTCCCCCGGCCACATGATCGTAATCATGGTTACCAATACCCACGTAATACGGTATCCTGGTGGCCACGCTCTGGATCAAGTCACCAAACTGCTCCCACTTGTAGCCGCGGCCTTCCGCATAGGATATATCACCAACATGCAGGACAAAGTGAAACTGCTGTGGGCTCTTGAAAAGGTCATCTTCAATGCGAGAAATGGTCGTGTACGATCTATTCGCCGATGGTGTTCCAGTGGGACCCCGTTGCTCGCCCAGATCGCCAAATACGAAGAAGCTGATCGCCTGGTTGCTTCCAACATCAGGTGGAGTTGTGAACTGATACAACGGGGACCAAGTTATTGTTTCCTCTTCTGCTGCTGCCGACACGATGCCAGTCGTGCCAGCGCCGAATCGATATTCGTACTCGGTGTTGGCTGCAAGGTTGCGGAGCACAACCCGATGTATGTATCCTGGATGCCGGAAGAGCAGAGACCCGGTGATGTTGGCGGGATGATTGCACATATCCGAGGCTGTGTACGTGTGCGAGGTTCCCGAGGCAGTTATGATGTGCTCGCTCTCCTCCGACGTCACTCGCCGGTACTCCACAAGCGATGGCTTGACCGCCTGCGCCACCCACATGATGCTCATTTCACCGGGGATGCCCGTTTCGGAAACGCGTCCTTGTGTCGGCTGGTTGCTGCCCTGCCGAAACGAGACCGCGATGCTGGCAAGCGTTGCCACGTAGGAGCCATTCGTGCACTGGTGCAAGTAGCGGAACGCGTACTCGCACCGCATGTTAACCAGCGGGCCAAACTGTACCGTTCCAATGCTGGCGTTCACCTCGCGGTAACGTTAGTCCAGGTAGTCAGCATCGCGTGCATCGTGCGGACAATACACCGCTATGACATCGCCAACCGGCGGAAACAAGTTACTATCGGTCACGTCATGTTTCTTATGTAAGTTACGATGCTGCAATGGTCCACAGGGATCCGCGCTCGTAGCTGGGTTGGAAACATTTGGACGTTTCCACCCGCTGACTGTAACAGAGTCACCCACGTCGATCTTCTGCTTGTCCACGATCAACGAACCGTGCGTCCCGAGGCCGCTGGTTATCTCCCCGCCATCAAGAACTGGTTGTGATGGTCGCTGGATGAAAGACAACGGCGGCGAGCTTGCTGCGCTGTGAGTGGCACCTGCCCCACCACGCCATTCTGCTGTTCCGGCTTCCTTCCTCCTGTTGCCTATCGGTGTCGCCGCCGATCTGGAGCGCAGGGTGTCGATCAGGGCCTTTGCGGCCTTGGCGATTTGCAGCTGTCCACCCAAATCTTCCACAATAACATGACCTCTGCTGCTCGGGCCGGTCACCGGAGCAACTGTCCGTGCGCTGGAATAGCTGGCCAAGTGCACCAGTGCTGCAAGAAGAAAAGGACCGAGGGACCATGCGGACATCTCTCCAGCTCGTTTTTTTTGTATCTGCCAAAATGATAGCGCTAGCGAGACTCGAGTATGTGCGGAGTATCGCGGTTTTTCTCGATCAATTGACCAAAACTTGCAAAAGTAATCCTGGGTCGCTGTCTTTTGCTATTGCTTATTCATTGTTGAGTGCTGCGTGGTATGTAATGGTGCTGCTGTCACCATGATGACCTGGCTCATGATCACAAACTCGTTGCGGACAGTCGTGCTATGGCATTACACTGCCATTGCCATTGGTAGCAGGGCAACTAATGACAGTAGTAATGTAACGTTGTGAACATTCGCTTTGCCCATATTATTTTTTAGCAGTTTGGCGTGGATGAAAAATCCGACTATCGGAACCAGGGCCTAGGGAGTGGTCGTCAAGTAACCGTGTGGTTAGTTCCATCCCAGGCCGAGTCAACCTGAGGACGAATGTCTGTTCTGGTCTGAGCAGTTCAGACTGCTGGCAGTGCGCCTTGCTCAGTTGCTGTGTTGTGTTTTGGAGCGAAGGCCACACACAACAACAGCAGACAGTCAGTGCAGTGCAGGCCTTCAACGCCAACGGTTGTGTCATGTGTGTGCCTTGGCCACTGACTTCGCGATCATCCGATCAGTGCGATCACGTGCCTTTAATTATTTTCGCAACCTGTATCTGGGTCACATGACAAAATCGAATCACACACGAAAATAATGTATCATGGAATCACGAGACATGAGAGTGAGCTCGTTTCAAGTGAACAGAAACTTGAGAAAGGCGTCGCTTCAACAAGCGACCTGCTTGGCTATGCTGTCTAGACGCTAGCATGTTCCAGTTGTCTTTTTGCAATTTTGGAACTGTCTTATTTGGGGGATTGCAGTAGGTGTGTCGTTCAATCAGTATAACATCGCCTGCATGGGCTAAAGCCCCTTTCAGTCTCAGCGTGGCCGATTGCCTCGCATCACCCGACACGGTTGAATAACTCTCTGCTACACATTTTGTTGAGCGAGAATCTTCACTTGTTGGGCAATTATTGCTAATTTTTAGAATCAAGCTGCGTGAACAAGTTAAATTTTCTAAACGCCTCACAATCCGGCTGTACTGTCGAAAGCCTAGCGGGACTCGAAACGGATTATTGGCGCAACAAACAGACATACACGAGGACTTTGCTGGCAGGAAACAGCAGAATGACGAGGGGATCATTCATGGGAGGAACTCTGCCACCGTTGAAGGCAGTAGGCAGCCTGGTGACGGTTTTGTGCATCGGGCTTCAGCTGCAATACCACATGACCCAGGCTACTGCACCGCATGGTACGCACTGGAAAGCGGGCGCTGGCGTGTGGCACCCGCACGAGGAGGCCATGCCCACTCTGCTGCGGCCCGGCGCTAGGCAACTGCGCGCCGGGCAAGCGGAGATCATGACGGTGGAGCCGAGCGTTCTGGAGGTGCGTGATTACATCACTGTTAACTGGCCGAAGAAAAAGATGGAGTCGCTGCTGCCGACGTCGCCACACATCGAGGGAAGTCCCCACGGTGACATCATCGCTGCGTATTGTCCCGAAACAGCCGCCGACGGGGATTACGTCGACTACCTGAGCGTTCCGAAAGAGGAGACGTCGGTGAAGTTTGGCCCGGTGGTGAACATGCGGTGTCGGTACCAGTTTCGCTACCTGCGCGCCCTGCTGAACAAGTCGTACGAGGCGTACGCTCAGAGTCCGCCGGTGGGCTTTGCGGCCGGGAGCAGCCAGCCGACGCAGGGACGCCTGTCGGAGACCGGCGTCGTCGGCGAGATGAACGTCATGTGGGTGTCGGACCTCAACAACATGTCCGTCGTGCAGTACGTACTCAACTCCAGCCGCCACGGTGATGTCATGAAAGCCAACAATTATGTCATGAATGCCACAGGCAAGGCACACACGTACGCGGCCAGCGATCTGTGCAACGCGCCGGCAAACGAGGTGGCGGCGCTGAAGTTCCGCGACCCAGGCTTCATACACCGTGTGCGCCTCATGGGTCTGTCGTCGGCCACACGCTACTCGTATCGCTACGGCAGCGACGGCCACTGGTCCGACTGGTTCTCGTTCACGACTCAGCCGGCACCGGGCAGCGCCGAGCCCGTCAACTTCTTCGTGTTTGGCGACCTGGGCGAGTGGCGCGATGCGGCTGGCCCTCCACCAGGAGATCGCGCCTACACCACCATGTCTCGCATTGAAGAGGACTTAAAGAGCATGCCAGCGGCGGGACGCAACTTCAATCTGCTGCTGCATGTCGGCGACATCTCGTATGCGCGGGGTGCGGCGTACCAGTGGGAGCAGTTTGGCGATCTGGTACAGCGCGTTGCCACGCAGATCCCCTACTATGTCGGCATTGGCAACCACGAGTACGATCACGAGGCCGGCGGCGAAAATGATCCGAGCCATGCGGACGGCAATGGTTATCATCCGTCGTGGGGCAACTACGGCACGGACTCCGCAGGGGAGTGCGCTGTTCCCGTCGTGAACCGCTTCAGCATGCCGTCGACGGCGGCGCAGAGCCTGCAGCCGTTCTGGTACTCGCACGACTACGGTCTGATTCACGTTGTCTGGCTGTCGACCGAGCACGACTTCTACCCCAGCAGTGACATGTACAAGTTCCTGGTCGCCGACTTGGCTACGGTCAACCGCACGCGCACACCGTGGGTGTTCGTCATGGGCCATCGACCCATGTACTGCAGTCGCGTGGCGTCCGCCAACTACATCATCCAGGTTCACCAGCGCGAGGCCTACGAGGACGCGCTGTACCGTTTCGGCGTCGACGTCTTCTGGTCGGGTCACTACCACTCGTACGAGCGCACCTGCGCCGTGTATAAGGAGAAGTGCGCCAAGACGGCGAGCGGCGGGCCGGCGGCCACCGTTCACATCATGGTGGGCATGGCCGGTGCCAGCCACGACCAGCCCGACTGGCAGCCGTCCACCTGGGCCGAGAGCCACTACGTCGACTACGGCTACAACCGCGTGACCGTCGCGAACGCCACCCACCTGCTCAGCGAGTACGTGGAGAACGAGAGCGGCAAGGTCAAGGACAGCGTCTGGATCGTCTCCGACCACCGCTGGCACGCCGAAGCCGCCAAGCAATGGGCGTAAACGTAAACGGTGTTGTTGTATTCTTTTATTGTGCTTCGCTGTGGGCACAGGTAATGCTGCATTCTCATCGGAGGGTGAAACCTCCGCCGATTCCTGCCAAGAACGAAAAGAAAAAAGGTAAACTCGAAAGAACTGGGCCATCGATAGTCTCAAGAACAATTTCCAGTTTGTCAAGCTATAAACAGCGTCGTAATCATTATGAGCTTTTGATATTTAACACCCTCCCCTTTTTTCTGCTTCTGCTTCTTATTATGATTATAATGTTATTCTTGTTTACTGGTACATGTATCTTGTCTAGGAGCATTTTGTACTTAGGTTTTAGTTGCCGATAGCCTTTCAAACGCTGTCTAGGGAAGCCCGTCTGCTTTTTTGTGTCGCCTTTAGCTCTGTCCACCTTTCTGTTGCGGTGTATGTATTGCACACTCTGTCTTGCTGCGACGCACTCTGGGTTGGCGAGACTCTCACAGCTTCCCTGCTGTTGTCATTCCACTGAATCCGTGGAAATTAATATTCAAATTATCTATTTGTATTACTCTGAATCACATTATTTGGAGAAGGAACGATGCACGCTTATCTCCTTGTATCGACAGGCTCTTCGGACCAAAATGAAGATGGCATCAAGAAATCATTTTATTCCTTGATTATTAAATTTTCACGCTGAAGAAGTACAGTATTTTGTTGGCCGGTGAAGCTAGTAGAAATAACAGTTCTTTGTTCGTCGTGATGAATTGAGCTGTGTACTCCTCAAGTTGCAATGGCAATACTGTAATGCTCGGTGCGCCAAATAACTGCCTGTACTCGTTAGCTATGATCATATCAACACAATAATCATGTACTGTAAAACGGGTAACTATTGCGACGTAAACATGTTTGCGAATTTTGCGAGAGGCCCCGAATCGCAAACTTTGAACAACGCAAACTCGCGCCATGTAAAGTTCAGTGCAAGGACTGGCTCGACTGTGTAGAACGACTCGCAAACATTAAACAGCGCAAACCAGTCTCAATTTGTAAAACGCAAACATTTATTGTCGCAAATGTTACCCGTTTTGCAGTACTTGTGCTCATACCTCAGTTTGCCGGCACAGACGTTATTACGCCCGGGCACTTCGGCCTACCGGACACCCTTGGGGCGAGGTTTAGTGGAAATAGTTATTTTGTATGGAAATAGTGACGTAACATGTCCTTCTTCTCTTTGGAAAAAAATGAAAAAACCAAAAAGTAGGGATTCACTGGCCAGAAAAAGCCACTTCATAGCTGTGTAGTGTAGACCAGGCTGAATAGTGGCTTCAGCCTTGCAAGCTGTTGAATGGTGCAATCCCACCACAAGTTGCTATGGCTTCTGCTGTAGCACCGCTATCATAACCTCTGGCGATGGGCGTCAAATGGTGTGTGTGTGTGTGTGCGTGTGTGTATGTGTGTGCGTGCATGTGTGTGTGTGTGTGTGTGAAAGTTGCTATGTCTAACATAGCTGTTCACTATCATCGCTCCCGCGATGGGTATGTCTGAGGTCTGAGGTGTGTGTGTGTGATTGTAATGGAGTGCAGGTGCATGGATTCAGCTCCATTCAACCCTTGTTTGTTAGAAACAGTAAATAAATTAAAATAAAAAAATTAAATAATGGCCAGAACCTGACCCAATAGTGCACTACTAGTGGCAGGGCCCCACCTGATAGCGTGCATGGTACCCGTTTCACCACTATGCAAAGTCCATGCTTTGGCCGCACCACACCCACATGCACACCTCAGACCTCAGACCTGCCCATCGCGGAAGCGATGATAGCGAACAGCCATGTTAGACATAGCAGCTTGTACACCCCCCCCCCCCACACACGCACACACACACACACACACACACACACACACACACACACACACACACACACACACACACACACGTGCAAACAGCCTCCCCCCCACACACACACATACAGGCTACTGTACTAATGTGACACAGCTGAGCACCACCAGCAAGGCAGGTCAATTTTAAAACAGATTCGAAAAGAGAGAAGAAGAAAGAAAGGTAGCATGATTGTTGATTTTCTGCTCTCCGAATAAAATTGGATGAAAACCTTTTGTATTTAGCACAGCAAGTATGTTTCTTTCATAGCTCTGATATGATGGATAAAAAAAAAGTGAATATTAAAAGAAGAACTGCTTGCAGTTTACGTACAAGCACAGCATGAGGGTTCTAAATCAAGCTAGTGCAATGTCATGTACATGTATTAAACCAGGTTAGATCCTGAACACAGTGACTAGTGTCATGTATGCACCAGGCTGGATACTGGGCGCCGTGGGAACACGAAACGCATCAAATCACAGCAGCACAGTGATACAATTGATATAGTCTTTATGAAACGGAGGACCCAATGTGCGCTGCCTTTCACAACCAACGCAGTAAGACGTGATTGGTGATCTCTGCGCTGGCCTATACGGACCAAAACACTAAGACACACACCAGACACGATGATGATCTCTGTGCTGGCCTACGCGAGCTAGCACACTAAGACGCACGCGCACGCATGTGCGTGTGCAACATGGGCACAAGCGCTTGCTGTGGATGAGCACCAGTGGCCGGGTCATGTGACACTGAAACCAGTCCTCCCGGCGGGTCATGTGACACTGCAACCAGTCCTCCCGGCGGGTCATGTGACACTGAAACCAGTCCTCTCGGCGGGTCATGTGACACTGCAACCAGTCCTACCAGCGGGTCATGTGACGCTGAAACCAGTCCTCCTAGCAACAAACATGCGAACATGCGTAGAGCGGTTGCGATCTAGGGAATCTCCCAGCCATCCTAGTCCAATCGCGTAGCAGTGGATGCACTAGGTAGCATAGCTGACCTCCTAGCAACAGACATGCGAACACACACGGGAGCGCGGTAACGATCTAGAGAATCTCCAGGCCATCCTGGCCCACCCTAGTAGCTGGTAGCGGATGCATTCGGCAGCATCGCTGAAGTATCACCTGCAGTGGCAACAGCGGGTGCAAGCTTTGGGATGTGTGCAGTTGCGTTCACTGGTTCAGGCTGATGAGAACGAGACGCGGCGGCGTCGGCAGTAGTCGCGGAGACTGTGGACTGACTGTTCGCTGCCCGCAGTAGACGCGCTATGGTGTGAGCACGTCTGTAGGCATCATCGGCATTGCCAGGTGGTGACACCGTGGAAGCCGCGACGGCACTGGGGTGATGTTGAGAAGCTGCTGGCACGTGCTGCTGAGAGGAGACTGGTGATGCTCGGCCATCGTGAGGTGACGGTGATGCATCGTGCATGGGGCCATGAGGTGAAGGTGGTGCCGAGTGCCATCCGGCGTGGTCTCGCCTGTTGCCACGGTTAGCGTGCAGGTCCTGATATTGATGCTGGAACTGGTGCTGCTGGTGGTGGTATGGCTGCTGGTAGTGGTCGTCGTGATGGTATTGGTGCTGCTCACCGTCTTGCTGCTGCTCGTTGTGCTGGTCGTTATGATGGTATGGCTGCTCGTGGTGATATGGCTGCTCATGGTGATATGGCTGCTCGTGGTGTTGGTGTTGACGATGCTCACCGTCTTGCTGGTGTCTGTGGTGCTGGTCCTGGTGGTGGTATTGGTGGTATGACTGCTGCTGCTGTTGGTGGTGTGGCTGCTCGTCCTGGTGGTGTTGGTATCGGTGAGGGTGTGGCTGATCGTAGTGCCGTGGGCGTGTCTGCTGGTGTTGGTGATGGCGGTGGTGAGGGTGATGATGGTAATCTTGCTGCTGATCACGGTGCTGCTCCTGCTGCTGGTGTCGTTGGTAGCGCCCATCGCTGTGACGGTGTTCGTTGTGCCGGTGATGTGTGCCATGATGCTCGTGGTGCAGCGGAGACGGTCGCCGCGGACGACCCAGCACGGGAGGTGGTGATGCTCGCACGGACGGACGCCACTGATCACGCGGCGGTGGAGCACCACTAGCAGGCCCAGCAGTGTGCAGCGGTGATGGTGACGACAACGTTGGTGAATGCCTAGGCGATGCTCCACAAATTCCCAGCTGTGATGGCGGACTGAGAGGACGGAATGGAGACACGCGCCCCGAGACCGCCAGTAGATCGTTCCGTGCAGGCAACATTGGTGCGGAGTGAAGCGACGGTGACAGAGCGAGCGGCAAGGGTGAGCGTGGAGGCAGCGCTAGCGGTGTGGGCCGTGCTGCTGCAGGATGTGCTGCAGGGGAATCTCTGCTGCTGCTGCTATCGCCTGGAGTAGCGGCATTCCTACCTCTCTGCATGACATCGGGTGACAACCTGCTACTGCTGCTGGTGTGGTTGCTAGCGCCAGTGCGGTGCGCGGGGCTTGCTCCCCGACCTCCGTGCACTGCTCCACCTGGCCGCACTGCTCCACCTGGCCGCATTGCTTCGGCTGACAATGTCAGTGGTGCCGGGATGGGTGACGGCGCTGATGCATGTGCAGTAGTAGTGCTGTGATAGTGCTGAGCTGCGGGATGAGAAAGCTGTCGTGCAGGCATAACCGTGCTGGATACCGGTGCAGTTACGCGTGACGCCACGCCACCGCTTACCATGTGCCGCGCTTTGTCCGCCAAGCCTGTCTGCAGCGGGGCAACACGCTTTGACGCCAAAGCAGCAGCGTTTGAAGCAACTGGTGCTGCTTTCGAGAATGTTATCATCAGCTCATCGTCATCGCTACTGTCCGCGCGGGTCGCTTGTTCAGCAACGAGTCCATGTCGCTCCTCGCCATCTTCGGTAGATTCGGAGTGTGAGCTGGAGCCGGTGCTGGCAATGCTATGCGACGAAGGAGAACGCCTCGGGAGATTGGGACTGTCCAGCCGGCCAGGCGTAGGCGCTCGGTGCACGGCACCCTGGCCAGCAGCTGTTTCTGCCGAAGACGGTGCTGACGCAGCGGAGCTGGCGGTGGCGGGAGGCCGACTGCCAGCTGACAACGGTGCTACGCACTGGACAGGGCGTGGCGCTGCGGCGGCTTGATTACTACGCGCCTGCAGTGTAACAGCAGACACCTGCGAGTGCACGGTGGATTTACCGACACCGACACCACCGACAGCAGCAGTACAAGCAACGCCGGGCGCCGGCGAACGGTTGAGAATGGACGGCAGCTGGATATGCTGTTGAGAGTGCGGCTGTTGCTGCTGCTGTGGTGAACATCTTCCTCCTCCTGCCGCTGCTCTTGCTGTTACCTGTGCTGAATTAGCAGCATTGAGTGTGAGCGGAATGAAGGACGGGGCTCTGCTAGCACTAGCCACGCCACCCGTGCCAGCTGACCTGTCAGTCGTACCGCCCGCTGTCGCCGCCGTTGCCGACGACGATGCTGCTGCCTTCGTCACGGACGCGGCGGAGAGTCGGAACGGCTGTCGGTGCTGCTGCTGGAGAGTGGCGAGGCGCTGCCTGCGCTCTTGCTGCTCCTTAAGCAGGCTTTGCTGACGTGCCTGCTCGCGACTGCCTTCCTCTAGACGGCCGATAAGGACCTGCGAGGCCAGGAGCTCACCTCGGCTGGCAACCAGCTCCAGGGCTAGGCGACGCTCCAGCTCGGGAAGACGACCGGCGGTCAACGCCAGAGTGTACTCGGCTGCGGGCACGTGTTGACGCAGATCGATGGCGGAGATAGCAGCGGCTGCCGCAGCCACTGCCTGGGTGCTCGTCGTCGTCGATGATGATGATGATGACGCCGATAGTCTTTCAGTGCCTGTACCAGAGCTGGACAACGATGATGATGCCGCCGATGGTCCTTCAGTGCCTGTGCCAGAGCTGGATAACGATGATGATGCGGCGGCGGTCGATACGCCCACTGGAGCGTCCACCCCTTGGGATGAGGCCGTTGTAGTTGAATCAGTGCTGGCGGGTGAACGACTTGCTGCACTGCCAGTACTGGGGGCGATTGAGGATGCGTCACGGCTGGATGTGCTCACGGCGGAGGCAGCATGCACAGGAGCAGATGTTGCTGCAGGTGGTGGCTGTGGTGGCGGTGGCGAGGCGCATCCTGTATCGCTGCCGGAACTGACTATGTCGATCGGTGTCACGTCGCGTGCGGATGAGCTCGTGGCCACCGTGGCGGCGGATTGCAACACAGGCATCGCCGAACTAGGCACACCGGTTGTGGAAGATAACGACGGCGGCGTGTTACCCGCTGTAGGCAATGCAGCCCCTGGCTGCACGGGAGGTGGCTGTGTGAGAGTCGGCTGTGCAGGTGTTGCCTGTGCAAGAGTACTGTTCACTGGTGCCGGTTGCGTTTGCTGATTGGCACCATCCTTCGGCATGTGATCAATGATGTACTGCAGAGCGTCCAGCCATTTCTTCAGATCACAGGCCACCTCGCCGACCAGCGTGCGAACTATCACGGCATTGTGCTGATTGGGATGCTGGATAGGCAAGGGAAACAGGCGCACATAGATATGCACACATACACACATGTACGCACATAAACACACACACACACACACACACACACACACACACCACACACACACACACACACACACACACACACACACACACACACACACACACACACACATACAAGTACACACACAGACGGACAAACGATCAGAGACAGACAAGGAGACGACTACATAAAACACGCCACATTGAGCATAGCAGGCTGCTGACATAGACATACCAAACGCGAAGGAGGGTGCTTGAGCAAGGCCTTCACTAGATCCTCCTCTCTAGCTGGTTCAGGATTCCTGAGCTGCTGTTTCCTGCAAGGACGCAGCAATACGACAAAGTACAGCAATTAGAAAAGCAAACCAAGAAAACTAACTTTAAGAACAAGCACCATGCAAAACGTCTATGCAATACTGTAAATATACAAATTTTCGGCAGCTATTTAATTTCGGCTATACTCGGCACCGACCCAAAACGCCAAAATTAAAACGCCGATGACATTTTTCACAGCATCTGCCGCACTATACCATGCCCTCTACCCCACGCCGAAAATAAATCGCCGCCGAAATGTCACAGCATTATTCTGTACCATATACAGAGAATTTCGTTCTGCTAATGCAAGGCACATCCATAACATTATAATTATTACTTCAGGAGACATTAGTTCCGGCACGATTGTTCCCAGTTGAGATTTGCCGAACCACACAACAGGAGCAAGAGCCACAAGACTCTAAACGTATACTGGCATGTCAGCTCTCAGAAAGACATTGACTTGATATCTTTGTCAGAGCTGATGTTGAAAAACCCAAGGGAACACGGCTAATATAGGGAAGAGGAATGTGACAAAAGCGGTATGATAATATAGACCAGTTGAACTCGGAGCGAGAATGGGGCAGGAAAGCACAAAGGCGCACGCTGCACAGTGACAAATGTGACACCAATGGCTGCAGACGGCAGAGGCAACGCAAGCCAAGCAGAATAGTGACAAGGTGACAATGAGGAGCACCGAGAGATAACGCTGAGACGGGACAAAACCTAGCAAGCATGCAGGCAAGCGCAAGCACACACACACACACACACACCACCACCACCACCACCACACACGCTCTCGGTGCTATTGGCTATCACCTTGTCACTATTCTTGCAGGCGAGTGTTGTTGCCTCTACTTTGTGAAGCCATTCGTGCCACAATTGTCACTATACACAATTGTACTTTCTTGCCCCATTTTTGCTCCAGGTAGAATACTATCACATTGCTTTTGGCACATTCCTATCCTCTATACTAGCTGTGTTCCTTTATCATTCAACGTCTTTTCTGAGAAAGACATCGGCTTGTCATATACCAATAAAGACTCTTGCTTCTGCTGTGTAAGCAAGTAAAAGTTCGCACGTCCGCGTTACCGCCGGCTATACAATTGTGTTGAGAAACACAGCCAGCCTGGAAAGTTTCGCTTGTGCCAGGCCAGCACCATGCCTGACTATAGCCGGGTGGCAGATACATCGCCTACTGTGTGGTATGGCTAATTTTAGTTGTGCTTGTATGGATCCCCTAGCTGGACCTGTGCTGGTACATTTTGTTTGTTTGTTTGTTTATTTAGAGTCGAAGAACAAAAATGTATGTCACAGTGAGGGAAATCAAGCTTCCGCCAGTTTGCAATGAAGCCAGTACATTCTGTAACCAGGGCACCACCCTATGCAGGACACACACACGGTGTTAATAGCCAGGACGCTCAACTGTGCTTGGACACACACACACACACACACACACACACACACACGCACAAACACACACACACACACCACACCACACATATGCATGGCTCGATCTGTACGCATTTCAAACGCCCTCTAACGTCGTCGGTGCCGTAGAAACGGAAGTTACTGCAGCTGCTCTAGGTGAATTTCAACCCAAAGTGCAAAGCTAGCACCCCTGGACCAGTCCTCATTGCATTGCTGTATTTGTACATGATTGTGTACATACAGCAGTGTTTGTACCACTGCCAGGGGGTATCAGGCTGAGCAAGCCTGGGCCCAAATACACACTTTTGGTGGGATTTCACACAGTGAAGCTGTACACTGTGCCCAAATCTGCGGACAATGCATTCCGTCTGTCGGTTGTGGACTTCTCAACGCAGCGGCAGAACGGAGTACATTACATGCTCAGATGAGCGCATGCACTCATCCCAGCATGCAGTGGTGGCAAACTAGGGGTTGGATTTCATTCGCAATCACCGCATCACACTTCACTCACACGCGGTTACAGGAGACGCACATCATTTTAAAACACAGCGGCGGAATTGCTGTCAATGAGCTTCTTACGCCAACGTGACAACTACATGGTACATACAATATACAGCTGTAAAAATATATAACTGAATGAAACAAATTATACCAAGAGGCAAGGCAGATTAAAACTGCTTGTGCGTGCTCACTTACTCACACACACACACACACACACACACACACACACACACACACACACACACACACACACACACACACACGGGCACACACACACGGGCACACACACGGACACCCACACGGACACCCACACGGACACCCACACGGACACCCACAGACACACACGCACAGACGTAGGTGCTCCACGGGCACACACTTACACCGGGCTGGCAAATCGGTTCTGAGCGGCAAACGGTGAGAATGTGGGCAGGCCCTGCTGGACACACAACTTCTCATTCTCGTAAGCTGCAGACAAAAACACATCCCAGTCCAAAAGAAAATACGCTGACTTCACATACATGAAGAAACAAATAATCTTTAAACAAAGGACGAGGCGACAACAATTATTTAATAATCGCGATAAACAGGACTAACTGAATCGACAATACAATAAAGCCGTTATAAATATAGATTCGCCTTGTCCTGTTCATCGCGATTACTAAAGAACTAATGGAAACAATTTCAGGATGTTCCACATTGATTCACCTTTAACACCCAAGCGGCGATGCTACATCATTACTTTTCGACTACTGTATCAACTGGCCCCCCCCCCCCCCCCCCGCACATGCACATACACACGGTACACTAAACAGATGTGGTGGACGCTGCACAAAAGTACCTGCGAAAGCTTCCTTTTTCTGCAACTCGGTTAGCTTTTCTTTCTCATCCTCTGCCAGCAAGGAGGTGTGCTCAAATGGTGCCTGCCGAAAAATAAACACACAAACAGATAGCACACCAGCATAATATTATACAGACGCACCAAGACAAACAGTTAAAATACTACACACTCAACTGATATACAGTATACAGGCACCGGAGATGTACAGGCACCTGAGATGGACAGCCACCTGAGATGTACAGCCACCTGAGATGTACAGCCACCTGAGATATCCAGAGAGAGATATACAGGCACCTGAGATATACAGGCACCTGAGATATACAGGCACCTAAGATATACAGGCACCTAAGATATACAGGCCCCTGAGATATACAGCCACCTGAGATATACAGCCACCTGAGATATACAGCCACCTGAGATATACAGCCACCTAAGATACACAGCCACCTGAGATATACAGGCACCTGAGATATACAGGCACCTGAGATATACAGGCACCTAAGATATACAGACACCTGAGATATACAGACACCTGAGATATACAGGCACCTGAGATATACAGGCACCTGAGATATACAGGCACCTAAGATATACAGGCACCTGAGATATACAGACACCTGAGATATACAGGCACCTGAGATATATAGAACCTGAGATGTACAGGCGCCTGAGATATACAGCCACCTGAGATGTACAGGCACCTGAGATGTACAGGAACCTGAGATGTACAGGAACCTGAGATATACAGCCACCTGAGATAGACAGGCACCTGAGGTATACAGGTACCTGAGATATACAAGCACCTGAGATATATAGAACCTGAGATATACAGGCGCCTGAGATGTACAGGAACCTGAGATATACAGCCACCTGAGATAATTATATAGAACCTGAGATTGACAGGCAACTGAGATAGACAGGCACCTGAGATGTACAGGAACCTGAGATATACAGGCACCTGAGATAGACAGGCACCTGAGGTATACAGGCACCTAAGATACAGGCACCTGAGATGTACAGGCACCTGAGGTATACAGGCACCTGAGATATACAGCCACCTGAGATATACAGCCACCTGAGATATACAGTCACCTGAGATATACAGACGTAGAACCCTACCTTGGTAAGCAACTTGCTGTGGTTTGCTAGAATGGATGTCAGCACGAAATCCGGATAGTTGGTCATGATTGCTGTGAAGTCGCTGGATGCATTCGGATCAACCTCCTGAATGAAAAGAACACACACAGACACAGACACACACACGAAACGAAAACGTCACCATGCTCGTTGCGGAGTAGGTCCAGGTGGAGAGGGGAGGATGGGCGAGTCCTACTTGCCGCATTCAGTACTACATGAAAAAGTACTCATCCTACGGAAACTGTGCGTGCGTCTCGTACACCGACCAAAGGTCAAGAGCAGGGAGTCGTACAGATGCATCAAAACCCAGGGTTTGTACGATCCCTGGTCAAGAGAGTGAGAACTGTTGCGTACATTTCAGGCGAGCATGCGTCTGCAGTGCAGTAATTCGGACTAGGCTTTCAGGACAAAACAAAGCAATGGCATGCATCAGAGCAATCATTGGAAACTAGACTGCAACCGTGTCCACTCCACCGCATACCTTAGTGTGATACATGCTGTTCATAACTTCTCTCGTGGCATTACGTTCCGGATGCAACTCATCCACAATACGATCTGCACGCACGCGCCAAGACACAGCAACAACAAACCTAATTGAGCATGCCACCTAGACAATAGACAGACACACACATGCCGGACCCCCCCCCCCCCCCCCCCCCCCCCCGGACACACAGGGCACCTACATACACGTACAAATACACCAATGATCGTTTAGTGCGTGAAACTCAGTTAAAAAAAATTTCCGTCCTCTTATTGTTTGAACTAGCTCTATCTCTCGGTATTGAGCACTCTCTTGGACAGCCTGGAACCTCTCTGTTTTATACACCAATGCCACACAACCGAGCGACCGCCACCATGCTAACACATACACACCAGCACACACGCACGCACACTAGAAAGAATATTCTTCTTACTTGACATTCCCTGCTTGGTGACCTGTCTCTCATAAATCTTCTTTTCCAGAGTGTTATCAGCCACCAAACGGTAGATGAAACATGGCTTCTTCTGTCCATAACGATACACTCTATTATGTACGCATCAAAAACAATAGCAGAGAGAGAGAGAGAGAGAGAGAGAGAGAGAGAGAGAGAGAGAGAGAGAGAGAGAGAGAGAGAGAGAGAGAGAGAGAAGGAAAGATTGATTGGTGGATTATGGAAAGCAACGGTGCAGTGGAATACAAACGGCTTCACAAACATACCGTAAGCAAACGCATGTGCATCACACACACACACACACACACACACACACACACACACACACACACACACACACACACACACACACACACACACACACACACACACACACACACACACACACACACACACACACACACACACACACACACACACACACACACACACACACACACACACACACACACACACACACACACACACACACACACACACACACACACACACACACACACACACACACACACACGTTACAAACCTGCATATGGCCTGGGCGTCGTGACAAGGATTCCAGGACACATCGACAATCACCACGCGATTGGCTGCAACAAGGTTGATACCTAATGAACCAGCTCTGCAAACAACACACAGCGGAACAAAAACACGATGGAAACTTAGTACATGGACCCTGTCACATACACCCAACCAATCTCCACTGTACTCGGGGGCGGAGCCGATGAGAATTCTAAAAACAACTCTAGGATAGAGGAGGGAAGGAGAGAGAGAGAGAGAGAGAGAAATCCTAATGAGTACCCCCCCCCCCCCTCCCCACTGCACTTCACATCTTTCGCATCAGGTAGAGCCGTAAACTTCCCTCCAGCACGTTTCAAAAGTCCAGACCTCTAGATTTGCATTCTCAACTTCGCAGTGGTGTTAAAAACTAAGATTTTTGAACTCGGGCAAATGTAGTGAATTGAGGGAAATAAATTCAGAATACTTGCACCGTTACAATTTGCAACTAAAAAGTGCAGGTGGTGCAACACTCACCGAGTGGACAAGAGAAACAGACGTATTCTTGTGCTGGCCGGATGATTGAATGCATTGATCATTCGTTCCCTCTCGGCGGACGGGGTAGACCCATCTAGTCCTGTCAAGAGAGAGAGAGAGAGAGAGAGAGAGAGAGAGAGAGAGAGAGAGAGGCAGAGAGACACAGAGAAAGAGAAAGAATGAGCACAACAGCCTGACAGAACAACAACACATGCACAGGACTGCCACACTGTCAGCCAATGGATACTGCCATGGACATGATACAGCACACACCACAAGCACAGCCCACACTACCTTTGCAAAGGCAAAGACAAGTCACAAGCTTAGCTTACTTAGGTAGGAGACATTCTTCTTCCATTTCTCCGTAGTGCCCGGAATTTGAGAGCACGACAGAAAGTCCTCAAGCAGTGATAACGTTGTCAGACTTTGGCTGGAGAGCAGGGCAAGAGGAAATGGCACATGATCAGGTACACAAACCCACACACATTCGAACGCGCACGCACGCGCACACACACACACATCGGCAGTATAATCAACTTGGGAATGTCAACAATGGGCTGCACTGATCAGTGATCACACCTCCGTCCAATGAGTCAAACAAATGCATACCCAAAACTCACAATCCTCTATCCATCTCAGTCAGACGATCAGTAACACAGTAATACAGTCAGTGAGTCAGCCAGCCATCCATCCATCCAGCCAGCCAGCCAGCCATCCATCCATCCATCCAGCCAGCCAGCCAGCCAGCCAGCATGTCTGCATCTTGCCTTAGTCATTAGCTCACCTGAACACTAGCAGCTTGTCGCCTGCGAGAACGGACAGGTTAATCATCTGCAGCAGGATCTCAAACTTGCTACCGTGAGACTCGCTGCCCGGACCATACGTCTCACCAAACACTTTCTTGAACGCCGGTGCCTACACATAGTATACAACGTAGCATACAACACAACACAGGCAAAGAAACACAGCAGAGCATGAGAATGACCCGGCCGAACGTAGTTGGGCACAGATCTATTTTCACTGCATAAAAAATCTCACTGTTTGTGTTGCAGTTATAATGACTGTCCACATATTTTGTGTACAGTGATATTGTATGCCAGAGAAGAGGTTGCCAGAGAGTGGCCAGGGTGGGACCCTTCCAAACAAGAACATTTAATAACTCAGTCTCAGCACACACACGCGCGCACGGACACACACAGCCACACGCGGACACACACAGGCCACACACACAGGCCACACACATGCACCCCCCCCCCCCCACAAACACACAATGGTCTCTGTGCTGTAAAAACATTAATTTCTTCATCAACTTTCCAGGCCTGGCCCATCATCACGGTGTTCCCCTATAGACTGAGCGTGTACTTGGCTGCAGCAGAGTAAACAAGGTCTTAGAAACCTGAAGAACCTGAAGGTATACAATATAAATTTCCAATAGTAAAGCATACACTATTGTTGGGCGCCGAAGAGCTGGGGGGGGGGGGGGTCAGGGTTCCAGCCTAGCCCGTTCTTAACACAACCGTTTCGCTCTTATTCAATGGTGTACAGTCTTACATGTAACGTTACATTTATGCAGAGCTATACGTCTGAGTGTACATTTAGTGTACATTACGGTTTCCGTTCTCATCTGCAAAACATCCAGCCTAGACCGTTCTTAACAAAATGGTGAAATTCTAGCCTGGCCGTTCTTCGGCGCCTGACAGTACTGTTTGCATGAACATGCCAAGCTGGGTTGGAGTACCCGATGTTCGCGGCACGCGAGTTCACTGCTGGGGCATTGCTACCATGTCGGATCAAATGCAGCATCACACTTTGTCGCATGAACAAGACAAATTCAATACGAGCCATGAACGTACCCATGAGGTGATGTACGCCGAATCTTTCTTGGTCTTCGAGCCGCCGCTTGACGATAGATCGACGTCCATGTCATCCAGAATGCCCTGAGAAAGAAAGAGAGCAAGGACAGTTGCGCCCGGTGAAATCCGACCCAACGGGGCAAAACTGACGCCCTGGACCAGTTCCGATAATGTCACTGTACTTGCACAGGTGTGCGTCCAGCTGCATTCGTACCACGTCCACGGCGGATGTCAAAGGCCGTGCAAGTTAAGGGCGCCAAATACACACTCTGGGTCGGATATCCCGCGCGCGCTACTATACACGTCGTATCAAGAACGTTTCCTGTAAATCCAGAATATCTTGGTTCCATTTACGTAACGAGTACAATGTAACAAGAAGGCAACTGCTGATTCAAGTAAGCTCTTTCATGCCATCCCTTCTCAAATCAATGCATGGAAATAATAATGCTTAGCACAACAACGAACAACCAAGGAAACCAATGAAAACTAACATACATCACAGTACAGGCAAACACAGCATTCCACTCACCGATTTAGAGTTCTTGCCCGAGACAACCGAGTGCAGTACATCCGGGTGGTTCCAGACCTGGGCGACACGGGCAGACATTGGGTACCAATAGGATACCAACACAGCAACATGGTCTGAACTATCTGCTCGGAGCACCTACTGTAGAAGCAGAAACATCCGAATGGAATTTATTCCCGTAGCTATGCAAAAGACGTTACTTCAGTAATGTCTGGCGCTAGCCAGGGTCCACACAGCTTTAATTCCGTGTTTGCGTGTTTGTGCCGTCGCATGCCTGGCGCTATCCCGCACCTGTCCCGTACCGTACCATCAAAGACAGCTGGCCACAATATTCAAATAGGGCTTTCAAATGCAAGATCATAACGTGAAGCAACTTGGAAGAATGAGTATGTATGCGAAGTGTATCGGGGGAATGCATGCAGGGCGATAGTGCGCACTAGTGCGGGTTCGAATCCTAGGTCATGTCTTTAAAAAATAGGAGAAATGAAAAATTCCTAACATTTTTGCAATGCAATGATGTAGCCAATCAATGGAAAAAAACATTTCCTTCAGTTCTAATAACAAGCATGATGAGCTAGGCAAAAAAGCATAGCGTAGGGCCCTGAGCTTCCAAGCTCTCTCGTTTCCGTCTTTTTCGTCCAAGGAGTTTTCGGACTAAATTACATGCCGGACTGAAGTCGATGTGTCCAGCTTTTCAATACGATCTATGGTCCGTGGACTAAATTGGGAAAGGTTCAACCGGACGGACTCCCTTTCTTTGGAGCTGCACTAAATTATTCCCCCGCTAAATGTTCTGCCTGTACAGTAGTACCTCATGGTGAATAGAAAACCGGCTTTCACACACAGATGGTCTTAGTGCTAGCAAGTAGACCGGTTTACAGTGAGACTTGAGCGTTAATTGGGAACTCGTGGCCTGGCACGAGGGTAACATGGATGCAGCTAATGGGATTTCGGTCTTTGACCACTTGGTGGTGGGTCTGATCTACTCACCTACCACCGTTTAGGCGCTGCATCTGCGCCTTGATCCTAGAGGGTGGTGGCGTTCCCACGGTGGATGCGGAAAACTCGGCTTCCAGCCGAGTCTCACGCGAACCGTGATTTTTTTAAAATTTTGAGCGCAATGTGTCTCCAAGTCAATGGACATTAATATTAAAGGGGAAGTTCACCCTAAAATCAAAATTTCACAGTTTGTAGATTTCGAGGCGCTGAGTTCGGTGGTGAAGGTCCCATCGCCGTGCGATACGCCGTTCTGGAGATATTTGAATTCGAAATTTACCATGACGTCATGCAGCCGGCGCACACCCTGTGACGTCAAAGAGATACAGGTTCCCGGTCTGCTTGCTTGTTGTGAGCAAGAAAGAGTGGCGTTTGTGGAGTTTCTTTCTTGCGACATGAACAGTTTCAGCCACGATGCCAGTTTGCTGTGCTGTCAGCTGCTCTAACCAGTCTGGCAAGCCCCCTGGGACCACGGTGCATCGTATTCCCCGGGATAAAGCTCTCCGAGCGAAATGGGTCGCAGCGATTCTCCGCGAGAATTTGCCACCTAAGTTTGAGGAGAGTTCTGTAATTTGTTCGGCACATTTTGAAGAGGATGCCTTCCAGAGGAACTTGCAGGGAGAGCTTTTGGGTGAAACGTGCTGCCGAAAGCTGAACGCAGACGCTGTGCCATCGATTTTCCCGGACAGGCCTCCCCCAGTGAAGCGAAGGATCTGTACGTCTGGAGAAGTTCCTCTTGCGGCTTGAAAGCGTCGGCAGTAAACTCGTAACCGCTGGTCCCAATGTCTGCAATTTCGACTGCAGGATCCTCTTCGAAAAGCTGGACGGTCACCTCCAGCGATTCCTGGATGTTATGGTTGGTGTTGTGGTCGCTATGAAGGCTGAGTACGCTGGATGTAAGTCATACCGCCAGGAAGACCTGCTTGTGCAATCCGTCGAGCAGTGGTATGATGCCCATAATGCTGCTGCAGACGTGAACGCCTTGCCTGCGCTGATAGCCAAGGTAGCGGACCGGCCCAAGTGGATCCGCCGTGGAGCCACTATGCAGTCCGCATACGACGTGCATGCCTCCACTCGGCAGTGCAAACAAGTGGCAGACTCCAACAAACATTTGAAGTGCTGGCCGTCCGAAGCTTACTTTTTGTTTTGACCACTTCAAGTTCGCCTTTTCGTCTTCCCGTCTGAGATCAGCATCATTTTCTTCGCCACTTGGCCAGTGGTGGGCGAAGGAGTGATGGCGAAGTATCGCGGTAAGTTCGTCAAGAAAAAGACCCACTCTGTGGGTGGGTTTCTTTTCAGCGACTGTCGCTCGTGGCAATACGGTGACCAGGAAGAACAGAGATAAGTGACCCTGGAAGTCGGTGTGCGGTGTAGAACGATGGAGTGCGGCACAACATGTCAGCGTCCGCATCGACCACATTACCGCCGGTGACATCCACCACACGATGTTCATGTGCAATGCCGAACAGCCTACGCTAGATACCTATGAGCACGGGCAGACGAGATGCTTTGGCTGGCATCATCGCACCTATGGACGCAGCCACGAGCCGCTGGACGCGGCAGTGCCTTGGGCCAGCCAGCATTGGCAAGCCGGTGGTGTCATTCACATGTCACTGGGCTGCAGCAGTAACACGCTAGTCGGTTGTCATGAGCGTACCGGGTCAACCGTGCAGACACTAACCAACGTCACTAGAAAATGCACGATCACCCCCTTGACATTGTGCATCTTCAGATTTCTTGAAGTATAAGGATCCCAGAACTGGAATAAAAACAGGATGTCCATGACCGAAGAACGGCACCGTACACTAACGCGTACAGTGCGATTGCGCGTATTTGCGATGTTTTGTCTAAAAAAAGAATTATTTCTCTGCAAGGTGAAGCAACAGGTAAGCTCACTTGCCGAAATGCCTTCCCCGCAAGCAGCGACTTCCAAGTGAAACAAGACAACTAGAGAGCAGTACTTCCTTCAGTACTCGAAGGCTCCACGGCAGCCGATCAATCATCTCTCCAACACCTTCACAATCACGGTCTTCCACTGCAATAGGCCGTCGAAGTCTGACGTCACAGCTTCTTGACAACTCAAAGATACTTGGCCAAGTGGTGACAAGCAAAAGTCGCGTCACCGGCACTTGTCGTGTTTCCAGTGGCAGCAGCATGCAGTGAATACAGCTACAGCATCATTTTGACTGAGGAGAGCGCGAGAGCGAGACTATTTATTTCAAATAAACTGCTACTTGTCGCCGAGTTTGTAGTTTTCGCTTAGTAGAGAAGGAGAAGCCGTAGCTGATTTGTTTGCTTACCCACTGCTGTACCTGTACTGTCGTACAGCTTTACATGTAGTTACAGGCCAAGAAACAATGATAACAATGATGACAATGATGGGTGTCTCCGTTATTTATATCGCAGCGAATGCTGATTTCTTTTAGTTCTGAGACCAACCAACTCTGGGCTCGTTTCCTTGTCCAGCGGCAAGCGAAACTCAGAACTCCTATCTATCAGGCGCTGGTGAACACTCAGCAGGAAAACAATGCATGATGGCTTGAGAGCGAAGCAGAAACTTCTTGAAGTAAAACGAGCGCGCCCCAGTCAAAGTGACGCCGTGACCGTTGGAAACACGACAAGTGCAGGTGACGCGACTTTTGCTTGTCACCACTTGGCCTTGTAACTACGTGTAACTACGAGTTTTCAGGCTGCGTGACGTCACATAGGCACTTAGACAGCCTATTGCAATAGTTCGTCTGGGCGAGGAACAATGTGAAAAGCAAACACGACACCATGCGTCGGATATACGGCGCACTTTGCAGACTTCCATTAATAGCAAGGGCTTCATCAATACTTCCTTATGAAACCCCAAGGGCAAACACTTGGAGACTAACGAGAGAGCTTGGAAGCTCAGGGCCCTACGCTATGCTTTTTTGCATAGGGAAACATAGGGATGATAATTTTGTTTTTAAAGACATAACCTGCATGGGATTCGAACCCGCACTATCGTTCTCGAGCCGACGGGATGTCTGTCCTGACGTTTCCTGGGACCGGCGCTGACTCTGCCGATCACGGGCGTTCTGGAGTCGACGGGATCTCTTTTCCGACGTTTCCTGTGACCGGCGCTGAATCGCCCATTCACGCTTACATGTATTTTGGAGACGACGGGATCTCTCTTCCAAAGTATGTTTTTGCTGACGCATCCTATCACCTATTCGGCAACTAACGTCCCTTCTAATTTCATTCCCTCCTTGTCTCCCTATTTCTTTCCAAATCTCCCCATACCTAGGGAATCGTATACATAATACGACGAATACTGTTGCCAGCTGTTTGCGGCCAGCTGTGTTTGATGGTACGGGACAGATATGGGAGCCAACAAATATTGTGGCCAGCTGTTTGTGGCCAGCAGTGTTTGATGGTACGGTACGGGACAGATACGGGATAGCTCCAGGCGTGACACAAACAAACAAACAAACACCAAATTAAAGCTGTGTGGACCCTGGCTAGCGCCAGACGTTACTGAAGTAACGTCTTCTGCATAGCTACGGGAATTAAATTTATTCCATTGCAGTGCAAGACCGTGGTTGTGAATGTTTTGGAGAGATAGAGAGTAGAACCTTTGAAAAATTCCTAAAAAACATGCAATTTCTGCCCAAAATCGATAAATACATTCACCCCTAAAAACAAACCCGCTCCAAACAGCCTTATCATGCTGGTGACCCTACCTAACTATCATAAAAAGAGTTTCTTGGGATACAAGGGAGCACATCCACAAAAAAGAGGATGTTTATGAAGAAAAAGTTAACCGCCATATGCCCCAATGCCAGTAGCTCTAAGAAGGGTATTGCAACTCACCTTGCAGCACATGGAGAAGGCTTTGATTGGGTTGACGCTGTTGTTGCCTTCCGACTGCAGTAGATCAGCCAGGGTAGCGTAGAGACGCGTCTGCACGGGCGAAAGGCGCACTGACAGCACCCACTCGTGTATCGTCGGCAGAGACTTGGTCAGGATACGCTGATCGCGTCTGCGTGTTCACGCGTGCGAGAACGCGTGCATGCGTTGGGAAAGCGAGAACAATAATACACTAGAATTACTGATGTTTTTGTCATTCATGACCCTGATGATGGGCCAAGCCCGAAAATTTGGTGTAATGTTAATTTTAATTTTAGTTTGAATCGCAGTGAAAAGACCGTTTTTGGAGTTGAGAAGTGAAGTCTAAATGTGTAAGTGGCTGTGTTGGAGTTTGCGGACAATAAGAAAATAATTACTGAGCATGGGAAGAAGATCAGGTTGTCTCCATCGCTCTGTCTGTCTGTCTGTCTCACATGTACCCTGCTCACTCCCTCCGCACACACACACATGCCCACACTCCTGCCGTGTCCATGCACTAACGACTGTGCGCCGACTGTGTTGCGTGCATGGCTCACCTCTGAACAAAGCCCTCCAGCAGTGTATGGAGAATGTGCGTGCGCTGGCGCATCAGCACGATGTCCTGCCAGTAGGAAAAGGCACAAATGCACATACACACACACACACACATGTACACACACACACACACACATGCACACACACAGACACACACATGCACACACACACAATGCATATATACAAACGCAATACACATACAAACATAGTATGTGACGCACTGGTCCAGGACAGTGGAAACAACATGGCTGACATCACGTGATGCACTGGTCCAGGACAGTGGAAACAACATGGCTGACATCACGTGATGCACTGGTCCAGGACAGTGGAAACAACATGGCTGACATCACGTGATGCACTGGTCCAGGACAGTGGAAACAACATGGCTGACATCACGTGATGCACTGGTCCAGGACAGTGGAAACAACATGGCTGACATCACGTGATGCACTGGTCCAGGACAGTGGAAACAACATGGCTGACATCACGTGATGCACTGGTCCAGGACAGTGGAAACAACATGGCTGACATCACGTGATGCACTGGTCCAGGACAGTGGAAACAACATGGCTGACATCACGTGATGCACTGGTCCAGGACAGTGGAAACAACATGGCTGACATCACGTGATGCACTGGTCCAGGACAGTGGAAACAACATGGCTGACATCACGTGATGCACTGGTCCAGGACAGTGGAAACAACATGGCTGACATCACGTGACGCACTGGTCCAGGACAGTGGAAACAACATGGCTGACATCACGTGATGCACTGGTCCAGGACAGTGGAAACAACATGGCTGACATCACGTGATGCACTGGTCCAGGACAGTGGAAACAACATGGCTGACATCACGTGATGCACTGGTCCAGGACAGTGGAAACAACATGGCTGACATCACGTGATGCACTGGTCCAGGACAGTGGAAACAACATGGCTGACATCACGTGATGCACTGGTCCAGGACAGTGGAAACAACATGGCTGACATCACGTGATGCACTGGTCCAGGACAGTGGAAACAACATGGCTGACATCACGTGACGCACTGGTCCAGGACAGTGGAAACAACATGGCTGACATCACGTGATGCACTGGTCCAGGACAGTGGACACAACATGGCTGACATCACGTGATGCACTGGTCCAGGACAGTGGAAACAACATGGCTGACATCACGTGATGCACTGGTCCAGGACAGTGGAAACAACATGGCTGACATCACGTGATGCACTGGTCCAGGACAGTGGACACAACATGGCTGACATCACGTGACGCACTGGTCCAGGACAGTGGAAACAACATGGCTGACATCACGTGATGCACTGGTCCAGGACCATGTAACAACATGGCTGACATCACGTGATGCACTGGTCCAGGACAGTGGACACAACATGGCTGACATCACGTGATGCACTGGTCCAGGACAGTGGACACAACATGGCTGACATCACGTGATGCACTGGTCCAGGACAATGTAACAACATGGCTGATAGTGACATCATGTGACACACTGGTCCAATGGAACCTACTAGAATCTGTACATGGCCATGTGATAGGCATGAAGCAGCGGCATAGCCATGCGGCTTTAGACGCAGGTGATGTGAATACCGTGCAAAATACCGTGCAGTCATTACACGCATACACCTTAGTAGACCAGCACAGACCTGAATACGCATACGCGCACCAAGGGGAATCATGAATAGAGAGGTTAAGATGCACATTATTTCTGATGTGAAGCGAAGTTTCAGCTCGCGCTATTCGGCTCGCGTGCTGGAAAACAACGCGAGTGACCTGCAGCTCACGTCGAAATTTGGAGTTTTACGCCAAATTTGACGTGAACTTGTGCGTTACGTCAGAAATAACGTTTCTCTGTCCACCCTGCACTCACTCGTTGCGCACACATCCGCACACTCACTCATACGTGTACACCACTATTGAACACGTGAACACTGCCAGTGGGGGCCACCACAGCACAGCGCCCCAACTTATTGTCTTTGCACACAATTCCGCGGTCATGACTATACAGAACCATTGCCTAGTCTAACCAAAAAATCCAGCTACGTACAACCAGAAAACCACGCCCGACCATTATGCATCCGCACACTCTAGAATAATCAAATCACTAGAATAATCAAAGCGATGATGTATGAAATTACATGATGATTACTGGGGTGGGTGGGTGGGCACTCTCACTCAACTCTCCGCACAAAGACAAAAGAGGCCGACCCTGCACTCGTCACCTCCTTTTATCCCACACCGTGCTCCCTCGTACCCGTTCCCGGGTGGACAGAGAACACTACTTCTCTGCTAATTCTTATACTGTGACGTCAACCGCAGAGAAGTGACATGCATCTTAACCTCTCTATTATCGTCAGAGCACTTGCTTCACATCTCCCTGCACCTCTCTAATACTTACGATAAGACCATTGGGCAGTGCCTAGTAGGAAAGGTACAGTATGAGTAACGCCATGTGAGTACACTGGACCAGCAATGCACTGCGGAACACCCCACAACACCATGCCCAAGCGGCCGTGCAGGGTGTTGGCAAGAGTACATAACCCCCCAGAGTGTGCAACGCCGATCCAGCTCTGCACAGGGTCTTGGTCGAGCGGAATCGGATCTTCTGATGTCATGCGTACATTACACACCAGCGCAAGGCCGGTCTCGAGGCAGGGCACCATTGTTTTTGATCCGAGAGTACCCGCGACTCCCCGGGTTCCCCTCAGATGTGTACGGTATTATGACGCAAAGATCCGATTCCGCTCGACCAAGACCCTATGCAGAGCTGGATCAGGCGTTGCACACTCTGGGGGGTTATGTACTCTTGGTGTTAGTGATACATGTACAAGCTAGGTCATTACAAAATGCGACTACAGTACAGTCGGGTGCCGGAGAAAGAACAAACAGGCTAGGACATCACCAAGCATATACCCGGTGACTCAACTGTGCATGGACTGTATGTAGTACAGTCAAACCTCACTTAACCGCACACACCCGTTTTCCACAAAAATATCCGGATAGGCGAGGGAACCGGATAATCGAACACACATACTGTACGTATGCATGATATATGTATGCTGTACATCGGTAACCAAATATTTTTTTCCGGATGGCGAGGGATCCGGATAAAAGAGGAGCGGATAAGCGAAGTCTGACTGTAGTACCAGTGTCTGCTCCAGCGCCGGGTGAGCCGGGTAATCCACCCGGTTGGGCGGCGCTTGAACCCGGTTGAAAATATAGTACCGGGTCACCTGTGAGTACCCGGTTGGTACTTTACACTTTCGAACTAGTTACTTTGAAAGGACTGACTACATCATACATGGCTTGTATCAAGCAGGGAGTAGTAGGGTATTGTACTACTCCCTGGTATCAAGAGTACATACCCCCCCCCTTGCTTGTATGTGTCAGATACTTCTTCTTCTTTCGTAATTTTCTAATTCCTGTCCTCTCTTTTCTAAATGCGGCTTATCCATTCGCCTTTATATCATTGGGCGTAGTTCCCGTTTATTGTCCGAATTAAAATAAACCAACCAACCAGTTAAAGTATGTGACTCGGCTGGTGAGACAGCGCCAGGTACATGTACATGTGTACCCGGCTACGACCCGGTTGCTATGGTTGCGCCAGGTACACGTGTACCCGGCTGTCCTACAATCCTAGAGCAGACACTGAGTACATGAAAAGTAAGAAGCGGCCTACAAGGCTGACCCCCAGTTCTTCAGCGCCCGAGAGTGCAGCATGCAATGGCACCTTACCGAGGTAGTGCTGACATACAGCAATATTATACACTATGGCTCAGCTGCGCATAGACTGTAGTACATGAAAAATAAGAAACGGCCTAGGCTACGAGGCTGACCCCCAGTTCTTCAGTACCTGACAGTACAGCATACAACGGCACCTTACCGAGGTAGTGCTGTCAACGCACTGGCCGTTGAGAATGGGCCGCTCAAACATGTTGCTGAAGTCCTTCTGCGTTCCGAGGTAGCGCGGCCGCACAAAGTCCACCATGCAGAAGTACTCGACCAGGTTATTCTGCAGCGGATAGCCGGTGAGCACGACGCGACGCTTGGTCCGGATCTGCTGCAGCGCCTGGGAGACGGCCGCCGAGTTGTTCTTGATGCGGTGGCCCTCGTCACACACCACCAGATCAGGGCCGGGCCGACTCAGTGCTCCTTGCAAGCCTTGAGAGAGAGAGAGAGAGAGAGAGAGAGAGAGAGAGAGAGAGAGAGAGAGAGAGAGAGAGAGAGAGAGAGAGAGAGAGAGAGAGAGAGAGAGACAGAGGGAGAGAGAGGGAGAGGGAGAGAGAGAGGAGAGAGAGAGAGAGACAGCAAAACCAGAAGAAAATTAAAAATAGAAAAGTTGTAACAAAGGAAAGGACCAAGGAACTACAAGTTACGCTATATTATAAATAGGGAGGTTTAGTCCCACGTAATCCGTGGGTACTTTACGTGTGTGTACCACGTGATACTCAGTGACCCACGTACAGACGTTTTCTGATCCATGACATACCGTGTATGGAAGCTCACCCACGTTCCGCCAGAACGTGGGTGAAAATCAGAATGGAGCCCATTGTGCGAGCTGTTAGGGTGCTCAGCTGAAGAAGTTTCCGAAGCACGAAATCAAAATATTGGATGAGCTTCTTAGGCCCGGGTAGCTTCGTCTTTGACCAGGTTTGGGCCTTTCGCTTGATGCTTTTGTTTGTGACTAAACACAACATTGCAACGTGGGTGCCCTTCATCCACTTTACGTGGATCACCCACGTACGCGTTTCCGTTACGTGGGAACTAAACCTCCCTAATGTCCACTAACACCACCAGTTACAATGTACTTGACAATCAGCTCATGCGATAATATTATACGACACTGACCGACGGTACTGACGTTCTACAACTAACTGCCAATCAGCTCTAGCATGTCTTGGATGCGCACTCCAACAGCGAGAGAAAATTTCGAAAATCTTAATCAGCCGAGCAATAGACTGCGTAATAACGGCTTAGTGGCATCTGTACACATTTTTTGGCTGAAATGGATGCCTTTTGGTGATATATAGATAGAGAGAGAGGGGTAGAGGGAGAGAGGGAGAGAGACCTCAGCTTACACACACAATTACCCCCCCCCCCCCCCAACACACACACACACATGCACCAGCGTACCTCTGAGCAACTCAGTCTTTCTGTCCTCTTCGTCGACGTCGATTACACAGCAATCAACGTCACCCGACGATGATGATGACGTCGATACAATGGTAGCTGTGCCAGTGGTGGTGGTGAAGGATGACGCAGAGGCAGCTACTTTTTTCTTGCCCTTGCTACGGCCATTCTCCAGCTTGGCAAGCTTCTGACGACCCTGTGGGATGAGTAAACACAAAGCATCAGTTGTTACAATGGCGCTAGGGGAGGCACTGAACAAGAAAGGAGCGACACTCAGCTCATAAGAAACCACTGCCATAATAGTACACGGAAACTTGGTTTCGAGGATACTGTAAAACACGATATTTTCGGTGTAACTTTAATTTCGGTAATTTCTGTAGAGAAAACAAGCACCTAAATTTAGATTACACCTAAAAGGCACTAGAGTATGCACTGTATGTGAAGGGAATGCTGGTCACCTAATTCTAAATTACACCTGAAACCTGGCAGGTCCCCGACACCTAAAATTACATGTTTTACACTAGCTCAGCTGGCACAGCTGCAAGAGCTAGCATGTAAGCTGAAGCATTGCAGAGCACCCGGCGAGCCTAATGCCTAATCTCCATCGCAGCAGTTCTCTCAGTTTGGTGGTTGTCCTAAACAGCGTTTTGCTGCAGCACGAGGTTGGGCTGTAAAGTGGTGCATACAAGTACCACAGCATAGCGTGTACTGACCGACAATCACATTGGCACATTGACTCTTTCCATCACAAGTCATTACGCTGATGCTTTGAACTACATGCAACACATTGACTTCATACACCTATCCTTCCAAAACGACACAACGATAGACGGACAGCCAGCTAGCCAGCCACAAGACGGAATTTTGAAAATTCCTGATGGGATCAAGTACAGATTCGTTTGTCATTGCCATGGTCACAAACTAACTCTCGAGTCAGTAAGTCAGTCAGTCAGTCAGTCAGTCAGTCAGTCAGTCAGTCAATCTGTCTCTTTATAAGCAAAGGCTTGGTTCTCCAGGCGATTGCACACCAGCAAAGGTCGAGCTAATCAGTCGCCAGCCAGCCAGCAAGCCAGACAAACACCGCCGCCAGCACCACCACTACTACAAACAAACAAGCACATTAGACAACACTACCCCCATACACAACTCACCGCCATGGAGGGTTCTAGCGAGGACAGAGTGCGGTACATCTCATACCCCATCAGCAACACTCCGCCATACAACTCACCGCCATGGAGGGTTCTAGCGAGGACAGAGTGCGGTACATCTCATACCCCATCAACAACACTCCGCCATACAACTCACCGCCATGGAGGGTTCTAGCGAGGACAGAGTGCGGTACATCTCATACCCCATCAGCAACACTCCGCCGGTCTGACTCCACTCGCCGATCTTGGCTGCGCGCGAGGACAGCGAGCGGTCGCCCTCGTTCAGACAGAATATGTTGTAGGACCGGTAGCGCACCTTATTCTCATCCGACCCATCTGAAAACGAGGAAGCCAAACATGCGGCAGAATACGTGTGAAGTATTGGTACTGATATTCAAACACAAAGTAACCACGGAAGCACAGTAACCATGGAAACGCAACAGATACCACATGTACCGTATTTTCCGGAGTACAAGCCGCACCCCCCCCCCCCCATGTTTTTGCCACGAAATACAGACATCTGCCCTATTTATCACCGTTAAAACGATCAACGGAGTATAAGCCGCAACCCCCCCCCCCTTTTTTTGGGTGAATTTTGAATGTTCAAAAGAGTCCGGCTTATACTCCGGAAAATACGGTACATAGAATGATCTGTTGGAGGACGAGGAAGATGAGGAGACCATAGTGTTGTGTGTGTGTGTAAGCTACAGTCCTGCTCAATGAAATCCAGTCGCGGCATTCAAGTTTGCACCTTGCACCATTTCGAATCCCAGTGTTCGCAGGTCTAGGGCTGCGCAACGCCCCGGCGCGTACATGAGTGCATCGACTGGAGTTCATTGAGCAGCGCTGTACATGCAGTGGCATGCATGTGGATGCTAGGGCCAGGCATGCATGTGGATGCTAGGGCCAGGCATGCATGCGGATGCTAGGGCCAGGCATGCATGCGGATGCTAGGGCCAGGCATGCATGCGGATGCTAGGGCCAGGCATGCATGCGGATGCTAGGGCCAGGCATGCATGCGGATGCTAGGGCCAGGCATGCATGCGGATGCTAGGGCCAGGCATGCATGCGGATGCTAGGGCCAGGCATGCATGTGGATGCTAGGGCCAGGCATGCATACAAACTAAGCAGTTCTATGTACAATGTTGCTCATTGAAATCCAGTTGAGTCACTCAAGCACGCGTCGGGCGTTGCGCAGCCCTAGACCTGCGAACACTGGGCTGCGAAGTGGTGCAAGGCGCAAACTTGACACACGCGACCGGATTTCATTGACCAGCACTGTATACCCCGTACAACACAAGAAAAGGCACCTGGGTCGATACGCTATCTTGAAAGTCCGCCGGGCGCATGCATTCAAAGCAGGATTACACAAAGCAGGTTTTCACACAAGAAAGCGAAGTATTTGTAGATGAGGCAACAGCAAGGAACCAACCTGCCAGCGAGGGGGCCGACATTTGCGATTCGCCATCCTCCTCATCCGACGGCACCTCCACGTCTTCCGTTATCGGCTCCACCTTTGGCACGGCGATCGGTGCTGGAATAGCCGACGACGGCGTCGTCGCCGCGGGGAATAATGATGTCGCCGTGGCGGCTGCTGTTGCCGCCGGTGACGGTGACGGCGGTGCCAGCTTGATCGGCTTGGCGGGCGCCCACTTGTTGAACTCTGCCACCCAGTTCTGCAGGGTGTTGATTGGCACGATGCAGAGCACCGTCTGTGCAGGTGTGTGCCGCAGGAATACGTCGATGAATGCGATCATCTGTGGGGGCGCAAGCAGCAAAAGAAAAAAAAGAATACTCTTGTAAAAGAGGATAATTATAATACTGTACATAGCAAGACGGAGCCACGGGTGTGTGTGTGTTATCCCCGGTAGCCTAGTGGGTAGGGACCTGTCCCGGAAAGACAGGGGTGCTGGCTTTGAATCCCGCTCGTGGATCCTTCTTTTGCAACATGCACAAACAGAGAAACTCGCCGGGAATTTGATCTGGCCCACAAAATTCCAGACTAACTAAAAGACTAAATTAGTCGAAGGTTCGAGGGACTTCTCGTGCGCTGTGGATGGCAGTCGTGTCAAGTCAAGTTGGTAGAAAGGCGCAAGCTCCAGTGTCGGGCGCAAACACTTTCCTATAAATTTCATTCGGGACTAAAGCGGGATTCACAGAAGCTTTTTTGCGATGCGACACGCGATGCGAACTCGCGAAATACCATTCACAGAAGAAGTCAGCGATGCGACAACATCTTGCTGATTTGGCTACGTCACCATGATATTCACGCGGTTTGATACAACTTGTACCAATTTATAGGCAACTCTTGAACCTTTGTACAACTTTGCTGTAGAAAAGGTCAAAATCGTACGCCAAATCGCTTGTCGCATCGTATCGCATCGCAAAAGTTGAGCCAAGCTCAACTTCTGCGATGGCCTGCGATGGCCCAGTTGCGGCAGTGGCGTGGAGTGCGACATGGCTGCGATTTGGGGTTTTCCCGGTTTCGCGTCTGTCGCATCGCGTGTCGCATCGCAAAAAATCTTCTGTGAATCCCGCTTACGAGTCAATTTGTTTACCATTTCAATGCGGTTCAAGATCCACGGACAAAATTTCAACCACACAAACTGCCTTTCTTTGGAGCCGGACAAAGTAGTTATTCACCGATTAATTTGTCTACATGTACAATATGACAATACCACACCGCATAGCGAACGCGAACAGTGGACTAAGGCAGTCGGCTCCTGCTGCTATTCTACAGTACTGCAGCTGTTGATCACTGACATCCGCGCATCGTGGACTGGGTAACGCAGGGCGCCATGCCGCCGCCCTGGGCCTGATGGCACTGAAATATGCCTTGGTACAGGGTGACGTGAAATTATTTCCCACGTTAAGGTTGTATTGAGGCATGACTGCACCACAAATTTTCACACACACACACACACACACACACACACACACACACACACACACACACACACACACGCATGCTAGAATACAGTGAATATTGAAGAGCTTCGCAGCGAAGACACCCAGCCGCGTGACTGACAAGCCACTACAAGCAGTCAAATGTGGCAATCACGTCTGACTTTCCCGGACACGGATTCAGACCTCACCTGTAACGTTTTACCAAGGCCCATGCTGTGAGCGAGAATGCAACCGAAGCCACGCGACTTGCTGTACTCCGATACTCGCTCGACCAGGTTGTCAAACAGAAAGCGAACACCGTCGATCTGTGAGTGAGCAGCAGGAGCACAAACAGCAGAAGTCAACAGGTTATAGCAGAGTAGTAGTATTTATAATTATACTAGGGAAATCCCCACAGACTGATAAATATGGTGGTAAAGACACACCTGGCAATATGGCGGTAAACACACGCCTGCCCAAACACGCTCTCTAGGCTGCAAAGTTCTGGCACAGAGCTCTCCTTCTCACCACCACCACCATCAGTTCGCGCCTGGCGCCTGGTCGATGCATGGCTGGCGGTATCCGGCATAGCAGGCTGGTACATCAAGTAGCTCATAATCCCCACAGGCTGTAAGTCTTTTTACAGGGTACCCTAGGTAAGTGCGTGAAATAGAGTGAAGGAAGACGGTGGCTCCACATTATGCCATTATGTATCGCAAAAGAGGCTGCGTAGAATACGAGTGCCTGCTCACCTTGTTGCGGGCTTTCCCAAGTGCAGTGCTGCTCAACGAAATCCAGTCGCGTCACTCGAGTTTGCGCCCTGCAACATTTCGAAATCCGCAGCCCAGTGTTCGCAGGCCTAGGGCCGCGCAATGCCCGGCGAGAAATTGAGCGACGCAACTGGATTTCACCGAGCAGCGCTGTACTTTCTAACATCATGATTTTCTACTTCCTAGTTCACAGATAAAACCTGTAACTAAAGACCACCGTGACTAGCGACCAGCCTGGTACTACAGTAAAACCTGTAACTAAAGACCACCGTGACTAGCGACCAGCCTGGTACTACAGTAAAACCTGTAACTAAAGACCACCGTGACTAGCGACCAGCCTGGTACTACAGTAAAACCTGTAACTAAAGACCACCGTGACTAGCGACCAGCCTGGTACTACAGTAAAACCTGTAACTAAAGACCACCGTGACTAGCGACCAGCCTGGTACTACAGTAAAACCTGTAACTAAAGACCACCGTGACTAGCGACCAGCCTGGTACTACAGTAAAACCTGTAACTAAAGACCACCGTGACTAGCGACCAGCCTGGCACTACAGTAAAACCTGTAACTAAAGACCACCGTGGCTAGTGACCAGCCTGGTACTACAGACCACCACTTCACCAGGCACGGACGGTCTCACATTCATATAATATATTATGGTTGTGCGGTGCAAACCTCTAACTAAGGACCACCTGGCACTAAAGACTGCTTTCTCTGGCCCCAAGGGGTGGTCGGTAGTCACAAGTTTTACTGTACGTAATGAGCACTGAAGAATGAATTAAAGACTCCAGTGCAGTTGAACTCATAGTCGACTCATATGACGGTAATCACTTGATCTTCGTAGTCTTCAATTCATTATGATCCCCGGACCTACTGGGGGGGGGGGGGGTGCACCCAGTGTGCTGACAGTGCTCAACACCGCGGAGGCAGGGCGTAATACATAGAACAACACGGGTAAACAAGGCTAGTTACGCAATCATCTGTTGCCTGATGATTGCGTAAGCATGAAACTCAGAGTAGCGACAACCTGGCCTTGCTTGACCTTGTTGTTCTGTGATCCCCAGAACTACACATACATGTACATTCATATATCTGAATAGGCGACGAGGAGACAATACCCGCATAGCTTCTGTTGTGAGACGACTTTTCCCTGATGATAGTCTCAAGAAAATAGATTACGAACATTAATTTCAACATATTCTCTTTGTTTTTTTTGGGGTAATGTCCGCTTCACTCATACCATGTATCAATCATAATATCTTTTGCCCAGGCAGTCTAGGTAGTGCATGCTACTGGGACAAATCTGTAACGTGCAACATACCTACCAGGTGTTCAGCCTGGTCTACACCGCACAGCTACTGTAAAACATGTAATTTTAGGTGCATTAAAATGTCGGTGCCAGGCACCTGGCAAGTTTCAGGCGTAATGTAGAATTAGGTGACCAGCTTTCCCTTCACGTACAGCGCATACTCTAGTGCCTTCCAGGTGTGATTTAAATATAGGTGCCTGGTTTCTCTACCGAAATCACCGAAACTATAGTTCCCTCGAAAATAACAAGTTTTACAGTATTTGAAGTGGTTTCTTTCTGGCCAGTGAATCCCTACTTTTTGGTCTTTTCCTTCTTCTTTTCCTGTACACACATCACACCACATACTCCGGCATGCACTCGTCGTTGGTAACCACCCAGGAGAGTGAAAGAAAAGTCAGGAGGAGTCTGAGAAAGAGAAGAAAGACGTGTGTGACCATAACCGTCGGGAATCGAACCCACAGCCTCTCGATTGGAAACGGACTGCACACGACACACCATACACACACATTGACCATTTGACCATTTGACGCCCATCGCCGGAGGCGATGATAGCGATGCTACAGCAGAAGCCATAGCAACTTGTGCTGTGATTGCACCATTCAACAGCTTGCAAGGCTGAAGAATTGACCGCCACTATTCAGCCTGGTCTACACCACACAGCTATGAAGTGGCTTTTTCTGGCCAGTGAATCCCTACTTTTTGGTCTTTTTCATTTTTTTCTTCACGCACACACATCACCCCACATACTCCGGCATGTACTGGCTGTTGGTAACCACCCAGGAGAATGAAAGAAAAGTCAGGAGGAGTCTGAGAAAGAGAAGAAAGACGTGTGTGACCATAATCGTTGGGAATCGAACCCGCAACCTATCGATTGGAAATCGCTGCACATACCACTGCACCATATGGGACACACACACACACACACACACACACACACACACACACACACACACACACACACACGCACGCACGCACACACACACACACATACCTGGTGATCTTTCACGGCCCTGGAGATCTGCGGCGCCAGGAAGATCTCATTCTCGTCCTGCCCACGCTTGGGATTCACCAGCACTGCTCCAGTGGCAGTCCTACGTGATATCCTTGGTGCTGCTGCGGCACTAGACTTGCCGCTGCTGCTGCTGGCCGCATTAGCGTAGTCATCGTCGTCGTCATCATCAATCTCGATGACGTGCTGCGGCCGCTGCTTGAGCAAGGCGGGCGGTAGCGTGGGAGGCTGCAGCAGCACTGCAGTGCTGTCGGTGCTGTTGTACAGGGCAGCAGTAGCAGCGCCAGGAGCGGTGGCGTTCAGCCCACCTCTGCCCGCAACGCTGGAAAGCACACCACCGCCACTGCCGCCGCCATCGTCGTTGTAGTCGTCATCGTCGTCGCTGTCCGAATCCAGCGTGATGACCTCGTGCTTGCGCTTGCTGCGACAGTCGATTATTCTCGGCTCGGAGCGTTTTACTTCTCCGGTGGCAGCAGTAGCAGCGGTAGTAGTTGTAGCAACGCTATCGCCTACGCTCGGTGATGATGCTTTTGGTGAAAGCACATCATCACCGAGATTGCTTAGTCGTTTCCTGCGCTCCTCTTCCTCTTGACGCGCCTCCAGGACGTCGGCGGACAGGCTCTCTTCCGCCTTGAGCTTGGCGATGCGGCGACGCTTCTGAGCCGGTTGCGACGGGGCACCCACACCACTGTCACCCGTGTCAAGCATGTTCCACTGGGACTGCGATGCCGACGGCTTCCGTTTGCGCCGCTCAGAGCCGCCGCCGGAGGCCTTGCTCTTTTTCTTCTGGACTATGATGGGCTTTGTGTCAGCTGCAGCAAACTCGTCACCCCGACATTCGGGTAAGAACTCCTCTTCGTCATCTTCGTCCGCACTGGACGAGCTCTGGCCTGCTGATGCTCGCCCAGGAATAGCTGACGATGATGAATTAGTCGGGGAACATACATCCAGATCAGCCGGCTCGTTCTTTACATCAGCAGCATCAGTCGAAGCTTCTTCCATTTTCACAAGACTTTGAGCCAAGGCCATGGCGATTTAGACAACGAAGCTACTCCCAAGCTGATTACGCCTTGCTAAACTATGTACACAGGGTAAGGTGGATATCCAGCCACCTCTAGACATGAACAACAGTGATAGAAAAGCAGAACAGACGAAGAGTAGAGACTGAACACTGTCATTGCTTGTAATTCTCAGCAAGAATTGAAAATGCCTCTAATTTTGATTTGCGTACAATTTTTCTTCCTTTTCGATCAAGTAACAGTTCATCACGTGGTGGTGTACGAGCTGGATCATGAGCTAGCAGTGGAGGCGCGAGTCGCACTGCCTGTACCGTGCAGTAGTAGCGTGCAGTCGACCATGTCGAGTACGAGTCTACGACTACGACCAAGAGTCCATAACCCTAGTAGATCTACCAAGAGTCCATAACGGGTTATGGACTCTTGCTCTACGAGTAGCATAGGTACGAGCGTACCTTGCACATTTTTGTAGCTTGGCACTTGACCTGACAATGAATGAATGATTGTGTTGTGTGAGGCCGACCTCGTCGACCTCGTCTGTTTGCCCCATCTCTCAGTGGCGACTCCAGCCGTCATTGCGTCAAGGCATGCAGCCTTGCAGGGCTACTATTGTACAAAGGATGATAGCAAGAGTCCATTCTCCATAGTCGGGCCAACTAATAGTAATACATGCTGTCCAACCGTTCTGCTTTGAGCAGGACAGTCATGCTTTCCCAAAACATGTGTGTATATTTACATGGGAGACAATTGCCTTTGTATGCATTTTATATAGGTGTCCTGCTTTGGAAAGGTGGCAAGGTTGGACAGACTGCTAATAGTCCCCTGGAGAGTGGTCCGGGGGAGTATGGACTCAGGCTTGATGATAGGGGGTAGACTCCATGGAGTAGGGTAGCCCTACACTGTACACATGCCATGGCTACATCTAGCATCAAGAGTACTTAACCCCCCAGGGGGGGGGGGTTATAATAATACTCTTGCTAGCATGCTAACAATCAGCACTGAGGAGTCTTGGACTTGGTGGTGGTGGTGGTGGTGGTGGTGGTATGTGTGTGTGTGTGTGTGTGTGTGTGTGTGTGTGTGTGTGTGTGTGTGTGTGTGTGTGTGTGTGTGTGTGTGTGTGTGTGTGTGTGTGTGTGTGTGTGTGTGTGTGTGTGTGTGTGTGTGTGTGTGTGTGTGTGTGTGTGTGTGTGTGTGTGTGTGTGTGTGTGTGTGTGTGTGTGTGTGTGTGTGTGTGTGTGTGTGTGTGTGTGTGTGTGTGTGTGTGTGTGTGTGTGTGTGTGTGTGTGTGTGTGTGTGTGTGTGTGTGTGTGTGTGTGTGTGTGTGTGTGTGTGTGTGTGTGTGTGTGTGTGTGTGTGTGTGTGTGTGTGTGTGTGTGTGTGTGTGTGTGTGTGTGTGTGTGTGTGTGTGTGTGTGTGTGTGTGTGTGTGTGTGTGTGTGTGTGTGTGTGTGTGTGTGTGTGTGTGTGTGTGTGTGTGTGTGTGTGTGTGTGTGTGTGTGTGTGTGTGTGTGTGTGTGTGTGTGTGTGTGTGTGTGTGTGTGTGTGTGTGTGTGTGTGTGTGTGTGTGTGTGTGTGTGTGTGTGTGTGTGTGTGTGTGTGTGTGTGTGTGTGTGTGTGTGTGTGTGTGTGTGTGTGTGTGTGTGTGTGTGTGTGTGTGTGTGTGTGTGTGTGTGTGTGTGTGTGTGTGTGTGTGTGTGTGTGTGTGTGTGTGTGTGTGTGTGTGTGTGTGTGTGTGTGTGTGTGTGTGTGTGTGTGTGTGTGTGTGTGTGTGTGTGTGTGTGTGTGTGTGTGTGTGTGTGTGTGTGTGTGTGTGTGTGTGTGTGTGTGTGTGTGTGTGTGTGTGTGTGTGTGTGTGTGTGTGTGTGTGTGTGTGTGTGTGTGTGTGTGTGTGTGTGTGTGTGTGTGTGTGTGTGTGTGTGTGTGTGTGTGTGTGTGTGTGTGTGTGTGTGTGTGTGTGTGTGTGTGTGTGTGTGTGTGTGTGTGTGTGTGTGTGTGTGTGTGTGTGTGTGTGTGTGTGTGTGTGTGTGTGTGTGTGTGTGTGTGTGTGTGTGTGTGTGCCGGTCACGCGGCCCCGCCATGGACCCAAGCGTCGTTGGAGAGATGTGGCAGCTTCAGACCTGCGTGCGACTGGTATCCCGGAGGCGCAATGGTACCACCTTGCTCAGGACCGGAGGGACTGGCGCGAGCGTAGCCGTCGGAAGCCACCAAGCCAGCCCCAACCAATAGTGTTCGTCTGTGTCTGCGGCCGCGACTTTCCCCGTCCGAATGATATATCCCGACACAAGAACTACTGCCTCGCCTAATAGCTATCATCGCCTTCGGCGATGGGCTTTCCAAAAGTCCAAAGGTGTGTGGCGGTCAATTCATCAGCCTTGCAAGCTGTTGAATGGTGTAATTCCAGCATAAGTTGCTATGTCTAATATAGCTGTTCACTATCATCGCTTCCGCGATGGGCAGGTCTGAGGTCTGAGGTGTGTGTGTGTGTGTGTGTGTGTGTGTGTGTGTGTGTGGTGTGTGTGTGTGTGTGTGTGTGTGTGTGTGTGTGTGTGTGTGTGTGTGTGTGTGTGCGCGTGTGCGTGTGTGTGTGGTACATGGTGTGTGTGTGTGTGTGTGTGTGAGAAAAAAATGGAAAAATGATGGGCATGTCTGAGGTCTGAGGTGTGTGTGTGTGCCAGCTAGTTCGGTTGGTGGGTACACTTATGCCGGATAGTGTTGGGTATGTTGCCAACGGGCTCGGCTGCTTGAAGGTGTAATGTTGTACCTACCACCTTTGTTGGTTTCAGGGTTCATATACTTTCTATTTGAAGTATATATGTACATACCTGTTAACCATGGACTACTTCTGGCTAGATTAACTCTTGTGTAATCATGGTGCTAGTGAAGCTTGTGTCAGATCCACTCTGATTTAGCCACCCACACTAGTAGCAAGTATTACCTTCACTGGGGGCAGGGGTAACTGCAGTTGGATCCCGGGACGGATACCCTGATGCCGTCAATCCTTTTTCTGCACCGTGTCCTCACCCACTTACTGAGGTGTGGTGAGCCCATAAGTGGGATCATTTTCAAGTCCACCCAGAGTTTTGGGGAATTCAGGGGGTGTCGGCCGTTGTGCGGTTCAATAGCCAATTGAGTCATCTTTCCAAGATTCCTTTTGAGTCTCTCTACCCTCTCCCGGGGAGACCCACGTGACCAGTTTTGGCAGTGAGCAACAAGTACGAGTGTGTGTGTGTGTGTGTGTGTGTGTGTGTGTGTGTGTGTGTGTGTGTGTGTGTGTGTGTGTGTGTGTGTGTGTGTGTGTGTGTGTGTGTGTGTGTGTGTGTGTGTGTGTGTGTGTGTGTGTGTGTGTGTGTGTGTGTGTGTGTGTGTGTGTGTGTGTGTGTGTGTGTGTGTGTGTGTGTGTGTGTGTGTGTGTGTGTGTGTGTGTGTGTGTGTGTGTGTGTGTGTGTGTGTGTGTGTGTGTGTGTGTGTGTGTGTGTGTGTGTGTGTGTGTGTGTGTGTGTGTGTGTGTGTGTGTGTGTGTGTGTGTGTGTGTGTGTGTGTGTGTGTGTGTGTGTGTGTGTGTGTGTGTGTGTGTGTGTGTGTGTGTGTGTGTGTGTGTGTGTGTGTGTGTGTGTGTGTGTGTGTGTGTGTGTGGTGTAATCCCAGCACAAGTTGCTATGTCTTACATAGCTGTTCGCTATCATCGCTTGCGCGATGGGCATGTCTGAGGTCTGAGGTGTGTGTGTGTGTGTGTGTGTGTGTGTGTGTGTGTGTGTGTGTGTGTGTGTGTGTGTGTGTGTGTGTGTGTGTGTGGTGTGTGTGTGTGTGTGTTTGTGTGTGTGTGTGTGTGTGTGTGTGTGTGTATGTGTGTGTGTGTGTGTGTGTGTGTGTGTGTGTGTGTGTGTGTGTGTGTGTGTGTGTGTGTGTGTGTGTGTGTGTGTGTGTGTGTGTGTGTGTGTGTGTTTGTGGTGCAATCCCAGCACAAGTTAGTTGCTATGGCTTCTGCAGTAGCTGAGTGTAGCATCGCTATCATCACCTCCGGCGATGGGCGTCAAATGGGGGGGGGGGGGGGGTGGAAGCAACAACGTGCTTGGCGACGTCACTGATCTTCGCTTAACAATGCACACCTGCGGCTGGCCTACTCTATGGCAACAGGTGAAGCAACAAACTGTCTCCACAAAGCCAAGCAAGCGCACACTACCAGTATCCGCCGATAGATAGGAAAATGTGCCCTTTCCAACCGACAATGGTGGACAACCGTCAAGCGAGCAGGTGGGCAAGGATACCGCTCTGCAGACATACCTGTTCTGCGTGCGTCGAACGGAACTGAGCACACCACGTGCAGCGAAAAGGCCGAAGTATTCGGGCAGTACCTCTCCGCAAAGTGCAGTCTTGGTGACAACGACTTGCAAGCCAACAGCCTCCCTCCAGTCCGCCCCCGATCTGAACCTCAACTCAGCAATGTCCACTTTCGGCCAAGCACCGTTGAGCGGAAGCTGAGGCAACTCCAGCCCGCCAAAGCCACGGGTCCAGACGACATCCCCGGGCATGTACTCCGGCAATGCAGCAAAGAGCTGGCTGTACCAGTAACAGTGTCGCGGCTCTTTTCGCAGGCCTTCCACCAAGGTCGGCAACCTACAATGTGGAAGACGGCAATGGATGTGCCGGTGCACAAGAAAAAATCCAAGTCTGATGTTAAGAACTACCGCCCGATCTCCCTCCTCTCTCTTCTGTCGAATGTCATGGAGGTCATTATCAACCACTCAATCCGACAGTTCCTGGAGGCACACAACAGCTTATCGAAAAGTCAGCATGGCTTCCGCAGCCAACTCGGCACGCAGGACATACTCACGCTACTCAACTACCAATGGAGTCGCGTTGTGTGGTTACAGTCATTGCAGTTGATGTGGCTGGCGCATTCGACCGCGTCTCTCATGTAGGCGTTTTGCACAAGGCACAATGCTATGGTGTAACTGGTCCACTTCTCGCTTGGCTGAGGGATTACCTGACTGATCGTCACTTGAGGGTTGCGGTTGGAGGTGAACTTTCCAGTCCGTACCCGACCAAAGCTGGCGTGCCGGCGGGCAGTATCCTTGGTCCCACCCTGTTCATCCTCTACACCAATGATGGCGAGGACCACCTCCCACCAGGTATGGAGCTAGCAGCCTACGCTGACGATACCACTCTCTTCCACTGCCTCACAACAAGAGCTGACATCGATTGTGGCTCCGAGCTCCTCCAGCAGGGCATTGATGCGTTTTCCCGTTGGGGACGTAAGTTGATAAAATTAATATGGTGGTAAAGACACACCTGGCAATATGGCGGTAAACACACGCCTGCCCACACACGCTCTCTAAGCTGCAAAGTTCTAGCACAGAGCTCTCCTTCTCACCACCACCACCATCAGTTCGCGCCTGGCGCCTAGTCGATGCATGGTTGGCCTAGTCGATGCATGGTTGGGGACGTAAGTGGAGGATCAAATTTGAGCCCTCCAAGACGCAGGCTATGTCTATAGGCCACCATCGCCAGCCCTGGGAGCTCCCTCGAGCACCATTTGATGGCACACCGGTTAGTGAAGAGAGTCGGCTGAAACTCCTGGGAGTCACCTTCGACGATACCCTGAGCTACTCCTTCCACCTCCGCTCCCTAGCTTCCCGTGCTAACCAGCGCATGGGCTTCCTTAAGCGAGCGTCTCCCATTCTGGACGCCGAGAGCCGCCACCGCGTCTACAACGGCTTTGTTCGACCCACACCCTCCACATCATCGGAGCAGGTACTTGGCTCCCTAGCCTGGCACTCCGTCGCCTGGTAGCTGCGCTTGCCTATGCCTATAAGCTCTCCTATCTGGATGCATCCAGCCCTCTGAAGCAGATGCTGCCCAAACCAGCCACTCACGGTGCCCCGAGACAAGACCTGCCCGTCACTCTCTCCAGCCGCAGGATTTCCCATCCATACCAGATGACAACTGGCCTGCATGCCAACACCCGGAATAGCTGCCTCCAAGGATTCCCTGCTTGCACCGTTGCAACGTGGAATGCCCTGCTCCACCACCCACCCGCCCAGCCCCACATCATGCAAAGCTTCAAGGAAAAGGTGTACCGTCACCGTCTTCCTCAGGACTGGCTCTCTGCTACTGATGCACTTCGAATCTGCTCGCCAACGCTTTCCCTGTTCTTGTTAGTGTTCAGTTGCTTACCTTATAACCCTGCTGCCATCATCACCAATATTCTGATTCTCATGCACATGTCCCAGAACCTGCTATCCTTCGCAGTCCCCATCACCAAGAGAACTGTGCTCTTCTATCTCCCAGCTCTCTCTCTCTCTCTCTCTCTCTCTCTCTCTCTCTCTCTCTCTCTCTCTCTCTCTCTCTCTCTCTCTCTCTCTCTCTCTCTCTCTCTCTCTCTCTCTCTCTCTCTCTCTCTCTCTCTCTCTCTCTCTCTCTCTCCCTCCCTCCCTCCCTCCCTCGCTTTTCGTCCCTCTCAAGTGTGTGTACTAGGCTCTGCACCTTGGTGTATTGAGCACTCTCTCACGAACAACCACAACTCCCTCCGAGTTTAAATGTACCACATGTACTGGCAACCTTTTTTCTTTTTTTCTTTTTTTGCAATGATCACAGCTCACAGGCAAGGACAAAAAATTGCATAGTGGAGCATAGTGATGGTGGGGCTTTTTGCTCTCAGCCGACCTGAGGTCTCGACATCATGGGGACATAAAACGCACCAAAAAGAAAGAAAAAATGATGAAAATGATAAAAAAAATATCAATGGACTGGGTATGGGTCACAAGGGTATACCAATTGCAAAAATTTTAGATGGCAGGCAGCTCATTGCAAATGAGATAGTACCGGCAATGTTTATGCGAATCACGGTGGCGTCAGGCATTTCTAAGGTACACTGATGCCGCCAGTGCACGCTTAAAGTGATTTGAAAAGCAGCAGAAATAGTATAGTATAGCATTTATTCATATTTCTCTAGGGCAGTGCCCACAGACCTATGGTCTCCTTACGGGTTACCCTAGCCAATCTAGGATTGCGATACGAAATAATTGAAATGTGTATTTTATAGAAATTGAAATGTGTATTTTATAGAAATTGAAATGTGTATTTTATAGCGGACCCGAGCCCGAGTCCCAAACTACTTCAACTATAGACTACATGTGCTGGCCAAAGAAATCCAACCTCATGAATAAAATAGCGTTGCCGGGCGCTACCCAGCCCTAGCACTACACATACTGGTCTGTGCACTCGAACGCAACGCTACTTTATTCATGAGGTTGGATTTCTCAGGCCAGCACTGTACATGACAGACATTATGAGGGGAAATGGTCCTGACTCCTGAATCAAACTGTGCGGCCGCTGATTACCAAAGCCTCCCTGCTTACAAATGGCCGGCGGAATTGCCAGTGACCGCGTCGCCAGTCAGCGAGTTCTGAAGCCGAATAGTGTACGCGTACTGTGTCGGGAAGCTCTTCTTGTCCAGGGCAAGACCAGCGGTTGGCATGCTGATGTTGATGCCGGTTCCGCTCGTCCAGCACTGCACGCCGAGCGTGACGGGCCCATTACCGGTCAGCAATGATGCGGTGGTCGTACCAGCCGAGCACGGCGGATTGGCAAGCTGTGCGGTGCCCGTCTGGGTAGGCCAGGACATCAGTATGGCATACAGGTCCACAGTGGAAGCGTCATCGTCGTCCACCGCAGTAGCAGCCGGTGTTCCTGCCGTGCTCAATGTCTTGGTTGTGTAGTACACCAGGACTTCGTCCGTTGAGCTGTTCTCAGCCTGCTTGACCTTCCATGGCTGTGTGCCGTAGATAGCGTCGCCGTTGACCTTCAGCCAGGAGCCAATCTACAGTGTGTATACAAACACACACACATACACACCCACACACCCATTGACACATGGTCCAAAGTCACCGAGGAAGACTTCCTAGCGAACGTACATTCATAGTGATGATTTACAAATGGTGGCATGTAATTGTTGTAGTGGCTGGCTATGCAACTCTGTTGTTGTTGCTGTGTTGTACGGGTGGAGCACCAAGACGCTCGGTGTATTTGTCTCCTACAATATGTTTTCGGCCAAAATACAGTTCCGCTCACTGGAATCCGACCCAAAGTGCAAAACTGACGCCCTGGACCTGTTGCGATGACATCACTGTACTTGCACACGAGCACGTCAAACAGCTTTCGTACCACTTCTAGGGCGCCAAGGGCCGTGCAATTTGGGGACTCCCAATATGCACTGTGGGTCGGATTTCACAACTGTGTAGCAAGTGTTCTCAGTACCCACCAGAGAGTAGTAAAATACCGGTGTTTTACTACTCCCTGGTACTGTACCCACTAACCTGGAGCAAGCGCTCGGCCATGAGCGGGATGATGATACCGTCGTGAGTGGGACCAATATTCAGAATCAGGTTACCTGGAACAACACATCACAGCACAGTCATTACAACACAGAATATAATTACAGTGAAACCTCGTTAAGAAGAACACTGATAAAACAAACTTTCGCTTAAAAGAAGAACTAGTATTGCTACCGCCCCCCTCCCCGAGTCCATATTGGCCTATATTCTCTGGCCACGGGAAGGTGAAGTAAATAAATAAATAAATTTGTAACTCTATTGGATAAATCACTGTGTATTCACTGGGTATAAGATATGGATAAGAAGAACTCCCGTTACTAAGTTGCGAACAAATCGTGTCGGTCCCTTGGTGTTCGTCCTAAAGAGGTTTGACTGTATGCTGTTCCCGGAATGCCACATGTGGGGTCTATCACAGTAACCTACAACTTGTAATTCATTTTTTAAGTGTCAATTCTCGTACACAGCACCAGGGAGTCGTAAAATACCGGTATTTTACGACTCCCTGCACAGCACAAACAAGTGTGGTAGAGGGGACGGCTCGATACCGGGACGTTTTGACAGCCAAATTTGTATAGACCCAAACCGATCATCAGCGTTGATTTTTCACTCGAAATATGTTTGTGGAAGGAAACTGGCATGTTGAAGTTTGCTCTGGGGCCAGAGTCAATCGAACTGAGCCACTCCTTTGTGTTGACCCATTGCCTCCAAGTTGCCCAATTTTTCTCTTCAAAAAAGTTCAAATCAGAGGTGGCTCCAAACCGGACACGTTTTAGAGTGCACGTCAAATTCACTCTGGGTCTGAAATTTGGTAATTGCTATCGCTCCACGACGGCCAGTACAGAGTAACAATAAGCCTTGTGTGTGTTTCCATTAGTTTTGATTGGTATGCGGTGCTTTATTGGCGAGAGGCGAGCCGCTGTTTACCTGCGACAAGAAGTTGATTTTTCGAAAGTCGTAAAACTCAAGTCGCAGTGCGAAGCAACACGTCAAAAACTCACCTGCTTGATATGGCGCTTCTGGTCATCGCAGAGCCATGAAATTTTGGCTCGGAGTATAACACATCGTAGTCTCACTGTGACATATGTTTTCTAATCAAAATACCAAGAGAGAAAGTGAATATTGAGTCCGTTCCGGTTTGCAACCGGTGTCCTATTTGAAACCGTCTCCTCTACCCCATATTGCTACTTAGTCACTCCTCACAGGCAGATATAGTACAGTGCTGCTCTATGAAACCCAGTCACGTCACTCAAGTATGCGCCTTGCATCATTCCGCAGCCCAGTGTTCGCAGGTTTATGGCTGTGCAACCGGCCCGGCGCGTACTAGAGTGATGCGACTGGATTTCATTGAGCAACACTGTAGCTACAAAACCAGACTGTGTGCTAGAATTACCGGTAGGTACGTCTTGAGTACCAGGCTTGTATTCAGAATACGCTTCTAGACAAGACACGGGGGCGTCGGACACGGTATGGTCACCACGGTATTGACCGCACCACTTTTGCCCCAGGTACCCTGTGGATCAATAAAACACACTGATCTGGGCTCTAAAATTAATTATTTACAAATGTTGGCTCAGGACCCCCCTCCCCCACGAGTAACTTGTACTTCAGACAGCTGACCGTACCACACTAAAATGACTTCCGATGCCCCTGCGGCAGATTTCTAGTTCCAGGCCCGGCGGAACCAGTCTGGTTGGTCAGGCCATGGCCGGACCAACTTTTTGGCCGCCAACTTATGTTTACAGGCTGCTGAGGAGGTCATGTGTCTACCGTCCATATCATACACAAAGTGTATGAAAGGCTAGGGTATGGTCGGACCAATCAATAACTGCTTCCGCCGGTCCTGCGTTCTATACCGGGGAGAGTACGGCACTTGCTACCTGATGATCATGAGACCATTGAACTCTGGGTGAACGCTGCCTGATGATCAAGACTGAACCGCTTAGCTGCAAGTAGCAATGCACTTTTCCAGTCCCTCCACTCTATACGTGTACCGGGGAACATAACACACTCGGTGACCAACGGGTTTGATGATTGTCCCTTACTGCCGGATGCTGCATCGATCACAGGAATGGAGACCAACCGCTTTACTCCCTCCTCTGTATGCTGGCATCACAAGACAACTGCATTTGGTGAATGACAGGGCTAACCGGATCCGGTCCCTTACCACCGCATGCCACATTGGCCACCAAAAATGGAGACCAACTTTGTTACTCTCTAGTGTGCTACTGTAAAAGTCATTATTCTAACGAGGCGCATATATAACGATTTCCCAAAATTGACTAGTTTACGTGTACCAAAGGTAACGATTCTCACTCATTCTCAACGCTCAATAGGACAGTATATGTATCGATTTCTGATTTCTATTTTAACGACAGATTTCTCCTCGTTAACTCGTTCGAGTTAGCACTTCGTTATATATTATGGCTTTTACAGTAATATCCCGGCACATAATGCATTGTTAGACTCGGGTCACCGGGAGAGCCAAGGATTAATTTGTAAGCAGAAAAGAGGACCAAAAGAAAAGCAGTTAGGCGTACAACGTCAGTACCGTTGGTCAGTGCCGTGCAATGTTATCGCATGAGCTGATTGTAACATAACTGGTGGTGGTGTTAGTGGATATGATAGCGTAACTTGTAGCTCTTTTAGTCCTCTTTTCTTCTTATTAACACACTGTAAAACCGGAAAGTCTAACGAGTCACAAAGTCTAACGTTTTAACGACCAACATTTTTTCGTTATTTGAAGAAACGTTATCGCAAGATGTCTGTTTAACGATGCGCATACAGATGGGTGGCCAGATAGCCATCGTTAAACTTTCTGCACCTTATCATGCCAAAATTACAAAAAAACGTTAAACCTTTTGGTCGTTAATAAACTTTCCGGTTTTACAGTAATGCATTAACCGACAGTTCTAATGATCGCCCCTTACCGCCGTATGCAACATTGTTCACAAGAATTGAGACCATCTCCTCGGCAGTCTTGTACTGATCGACCGTCTCGACGCGATCGTATCCCCATGAATTTGCCATCGTCATCAAGTCTGTCCACTTGTGTGGCTGCAGAGCGCCTGGTTCATAGCGGTCATGACACGTATGGTAGCCTGCAAGTAGATACATGTATGGAGCAGTTCAGAGAACACTCTATCTCATCAGCAATGTGTGTGGTTGCAAGGACATTGTACAGTGTACATGTGAGTGTGTGTGTGTGCACGCATGTGCACGTACATGCATGTGTGTGTGTGTGTGTGTGTGTGTGTGTGTGTGCACACGCGCACCTTCCAATGTCACCAGCGTGCATTCTAGCTACATGCCGAGTCTGTGTCCTTCTCACCTCCATGCAGACAGCGTGTATCCGTTCCCCACCGGTCATCCACAACAACCGTGTCCTTCACGGGCGACTCGTTGTATAGCCAGGCCAAGAAGTCTCTAAAGAGAAGAACAAGTCAGGAATTAATAATACCGGCGGCAGACATGCATGTACGCACGCACTATATCGGTACATGTACTGCTAACACTGTAACAGCATTGCAAGCGGTTTGCAAATTCTAGACACTCAGTACCGAGCCGTAAGCTGAGGCTTTCCCAGTGTGAATAGACCTTTCTATTGTTGAATTCGAACGAGGACTGACCGAGTGGCGAAAGTTTGAAGTCGCCTCAGCATGCACTGTACAGTAAGGGGGAGGGGGTATACCCGCCCTACAGGCGTTATAGGGCTAAAAGCACGCAAGCTACGATCCTCTCTGACAGGAGTGTTAGAGAAGCCACTCACCTTGATTTGAGCTGGGTGCTGTTGAGAAGCACGGCGTAGTCGCCGTTGACGATATCCGGCTGGTACTTCACGGTGATGTCCTTGAGCTCTTTGAGGAACACCTCCTCTACATACTCCTCTTGTCCCGTGTACGGCTCAGGGCCGTGCATGTAGTCCCACGGTAGCAGGGGATTTCCCCACTCGATATTACAATCTGTTAGAGAACACACAGTGTATTACTATAAATATCAATCTGACTTTGATGCTTTGAGCCGATTTAAAAAACCTACTTTGTTGTTCGCTAGGACTTCAGAGAGAAGCGGAAGAATTCTCTTTCCCTTTTCTTAAAAAAAACCCGCTGCTCAAACACTGCATAGTGTCGTGAAATAATATTATAACCGTGCCACAGAAATAAGTGGCCGGTAGACTGAGGTGCCCGTAACTTTAGTGTGCTTGCTACTACAAACGTAGCTCGGGGGGGGGGGGGGGGGGCATGAAAGTCTGTACTTTATAGCAGAGGTAGTCACACAAACACCAGAGGTGTACTAAGGTACTCTCTATCCAAGGTCAATGACTGGAAAAAGATAACCAGGGTTCTGAAAAATGTGCTTTTGTTGCCGATGCAAAGAGGAGAGTATGTTACAATAGTCCTTCTCTAATCCAGCACTTTATAGACCAGCATCCTTTATAAACCATCACAATTCTCAGTTACCAACATGTCCTTTTGATGCACATTGCAGAAGTAGATCAGATTTGTTAATCGAGCACCCCGGCCCTAGTCCAGCAGAACTTCTGCAGCACAAATGGTGCCGGATGGTAACGGGTAACGGGACCCATGGCCTATCCAGGGTCACCAGTTAGACTGAAGTTTTACTGTACTCCACCAACCCTGATCGGCATCTTGCAAAACAGTTTTTTACGGATTGCATGAGACTTGGCTAATAATACATGTAGAGGCTAGAGGCCGAGTTTCCACATACGTAAGAACGTCACCACCCCCAAGGATCAAGTCACAAATGCAGCTCCTAAAGCGATTGGAGGTGAGCAGATCAGACCCACCACCAAGAGGGGCAAAGACTCAAAATCCCATTCGCTGCATCTATGCATCCCGCAAACTCACAATACAATCCCATTCTGAGTCCCTGAGCACGCGTGGCGTTTGTCAGCTCTCCCACGATGTCGCGGTGAGGTCCGTTATCCACACTGTTGTAGTTCCACTTGGCAGGCGACTTCCAGTTGGCCCAGCCATCGCAGTGCTTGGACGTGAGCAGAACAAACTTGGCGCCCGCATCGCTGAACAGCTGTGTCCACTGAGCAGGATCCCAGAGCTCAGCCTGAAAGAGTGGACGTACCACACCACACCACATACCACACAGTGAAACTTTGCAGGTTGTAGTCACGGCAACATACAATGGTAGTATTATGGTACAATGGTCAATCTGCGGACAGAACTCTTACAACGGCGCACTGGTACACAGATCACTATTTTCAAGGACATTAATATCTGCCTCTTCCTCTGCATCTTGATCCTTGTTGGTGGTGGCGTTCCTATGGATGCGGAGAACTCCGTCTAATAAACGAGTCTGTACGCGAACCGTGAATTTTTAATTTTTTGTCTTCCAAAGTTGTAGTCACGGCAACATACAATGGCACTATGCTGTATGCTCAATCTGCGGACAGGACTCTTACAATGGTGCAATGGTATTCAGATTGCTATTTTCAAGGACATCTGTATCTGCCACTTCCTCAGCATCTTTATCTGCATCTTGATCCTTGACGGTGGTGGCGTTCCTACGGATGCGGAAAACTCGGTCTAATAAACGAGTCTCTGCACGAACTGTGAATTTTTAATTTTTCTTCTTCCAAAGAACCCTGCATTATATGCTACTGCACTCTGCAGTGACCTGACCTTATTTGGACATCCCTGGTTAAAGCATACAGTCTATTATGATCCCTAGAAGTGTGTAGTACTGATGTGTCACTGCGTAAGCACTAAGCAGGGCTATTTGCAAGGAATTCAAACGGGCAGTGTGGCCGCAGTACAACTAATTACAGCGGAGCACTGAAAAGAAGAATACTCCGACGGCAGACCCACATCCCAGAATTTGTGGTCTCGTCCCTTTTTCCCCCCAAGACCTAAGGCCACACGTTTTTATTTCTATGTTTCTCGTCACCCGCGCTCATACGATTCAGGAGTCTGGAAGAAAAAAAGAAAAAAAAACTGTGCTGCACTGACTGTGCATGTGGGGACCAGCACACTCAAGCACATGTACATAATGTGGCCTGGCCTGCGCGACACATGATGCGAGGACGGCATTTTTGTGCGCAATCTAGCTGCACATGCACAGATTGTGACAGAAGCTCCTACCACATACTACTATTACTAGTTGCTAACTATGGATGGTATTTTGCATGGTGTATTGGTGGATTTTAGTGTGAACAAAGGTCTGATAAACTTTTTTTATTTTTCGGTCATTTTTTTATTTTTTTCCACCTCTCGCATACGTTTTTAGATTTTCAGGTGACGAGAAACATAGAAATAAAAACGTGTGGCCTAATAGCTTCGGACCGAATGCAGCGCTGGAACTTATGGCCTGCTCTGTCGTGCCAAGAACTGAACAGAAACAGTTCAAACTAATTCATGGGTAACCTGTGGAAAGAAATTATGGTATCATCAGAGCCCTTCTGGTTTATGATCAAAATGTTGAAGCTCAATTATCTGCAAATTTAGTTTTAGGTTGTACCTTGAACATGGGTCCAAATTCATCATACTTGAAGTCCTGTCCGTACGTCGCGTAGTGGAACTCGCGTGTTTCGTTGTTGTCACTACCTGCACATCACATGTATCAGCAGCGCCATCGAGTACACACACACACACACACACACACACACACACACACACACACACACACACACACACACACACACACACACACACACACACACACACACACACACACACACACACACACACACACACACACACACACACACACACACACACACACACACACACACACACACACACACACACACACACACACACACACACACACACACACACACACACACACACACACACACACACACACACACACACACACACACACACACACACACACACACACACACACACACACACACACACACACACACACACACACACACATACACACACACATACACACACATACATGCACACACACACATACACACACATGCACACACACACACACATACACACACACACACACACATGTACACACACACACACACACACACACATACACACACACACACACACACACACACACACACACAAGCACACACACACACACACACACACACACACACACACACACACACACACACATACATACACACACATACTTGTACTTGCTCCCTGCCAAAACTGGTCACATGGGTCTCCCCGGGAGAGGGAAGAGGGATTCAAAAGGAATCTTGGAAAGATGACTCGATTGGCTATTGAACCGACACACCCTGAAATCCCCAAGCTCTTGGTGGACTAGGAAATGATCCCACTTATGGGCTCACCACATCTCAGCAAGCGGGTGGAAACAAGGTGCAGAAAAAGGATTGACGGCATGAAAGTATCCGTCCCGGGATGCAACTGCATTTACCCCTGCCTGAAGGTAATACTGTAATTTCACTAATTTTCGGTACTTTCGAAGCATCTGTTTCATACCTAAAATTTCAATACACCGAACAAACACTAACACACATAATCCAATAGGAAACTGCTTCTCTGTACCGCAAATCTCTGTTCAGTGTTCACCTAACCTGGCCTTTTGCCCTCATACCGAAAATATTGAGCACCGCAAATTTCTGAAATTAGAGTACTTGCCACTAGTGTGGATGGCTAAATCAGAGTGGATATACTATGACTTTAGCTTCACTAGCACCATTGATTACAAAAGAGTTAAAAAAATTTCACGGTTCGCGTGAGACTCGGCTGGAAGCCGGGTTTTCCGCATCCGTAGGAACGCCACCACCCTTCAAGGATCAAGGCGCAGATGCAGCTCCTAAAGCGGTGGGAGGTGAGTAGATCAGCTCACCAGCAAGTGGTCAAAGACCGAAAATCCCATTCACTGCATCCATAGAGAGTTAACCTAGCCAAAAAGTAGTAAGTTAGCAGGTACAAAATTACACCTTCAAACAGCCGAGTCCGTTGGCAACAGGCCCAACACTATCTGGTATAAGTGTACCCACCAACCGAACCGCTGGCACCCCCCCCCCCCCTCACACTCATGGACACACCCACATGCACAGTGACACACACACACACCTTGACCTTGACCTTGATACACGTTGCCTTGATAGGTTACACGGTCCCCGTCAGAGGAGAGGGGTGGAAGAGGCTGAGGAGCAGCACTTCTGATGGCGCACTAGATGGTGACGTAGTCGGAACTTCCTTTGGCAAGGGCACTCAAACGGGAAGTCGGCCCTTTCCGACACTGTCCTTCGTTTCGTGCGGTCGCACTTGTGTCTGGCCAAGCCGCTGCTGGACTTGAAACTCCGGTGGCAGGTGCTGCACTGCGGAGTGACCGCCGGGGTGCTCGATGTTGGGAGCAGGTCCGTGATCGCACCGATGGGTAGCCAATCCACCGGGGCTGTGGAACCAACGTTGGCAGAGACGACATTGGCAAGCGCCAGCCTGATTGCACACTGGTTTCTGTCGTTCTGCCAAGTATTTGTGACGCTTCTCATCTGATGGGCGAGAGAAGTACCGATCACATACTTGGCAATGGACATTGGGTACGGGCGGTTCGGGCTCGAAACAGCGGTATATGCGGCGCCAGTCGGGGCGAGAATCTGCCTGATCGTACCATCCCTCCACAGCATTCAGGGCCTTCAGGTCTGCACTAATGCAGTCCTTCCAGCGTTTGCGTGGACCGCCAGGTGGACGGTGGGATGGGAGCAGACCGAAAAGCAGAATCTTCGGGATGCGCTCTGGTGGCATGAGAGCAACATGATCCAGCCACTCAAGTCGTCGCTGGCGAATCCGGACAGCAAGTGGGCGCTTGTCGCCCCACATTTCCAGCAACTGATCATTGCTGATCCGCTCTTGTCTAACCTTGTTATGCCAAGAACGGTATGCAGACACTGCATGTAGAACGTGGAGAGCCTCCGGATGTCGGCTTGGAGGGGTACCCAGCACTCAGCTCCGTACAGCAGAATGGTGACAACGCACGCATTGAAGATATTCTTCTTGGTGAGGACGGACAGATGGTGGTTGTTGAAAACTGGCTTCCGCAGGGAGCCAAACGCACGGGAGGCAGCCGCAATTCTGGAGGAGATGTCAATCGAACACCGGCCAGACGTATCGATGATCGACCCAAGGTAGCGAAACTCCGTTACGCACTCGATCTGGTTCGAACCAACACAAACAGGGACGAAGTCCGCATCAGAAATGTCTCTGCCGATCACCATGAACTTGGTGTACCTCATCACGAGGTGAGCGAAATACCTACAAACTGCGTGTTCGGTGGCAGCCACAAATCATCCACGTTGAAAAAGGGAATGAAGGGACGCATTTTGTACTGGAAGTGACCCGATTGCGTGCGTATGACATTCTCCTGAACAGTGTTGCTGAAGCTTTCCGTGTCCGAAATGAGCACCGTAGGTTTTCGCTTCACTGCGTAATCGCCGTTTAAAGGGGAAGTTAAGGCAAAAATTAAAATTTCACCAGTTGTAGTCTTCGAGGTGCTGAGTCGAATGGTCTTGGTCCGAGAAAGCTGAGACGCTCCCTTCCTACTTGAATCCCAATCGAACTCGCGCACTTCCACCGAAACTGGGTGACTGCGCCCTACTAGATGGGGATTTGTATGCAAAATGTCACTAAAAGCGCCATTTCGTTCTTATAAAAGCACGGATGACCGCGATTGGCCCATGTGTTGTAGTCTTTTGGACGCTGAGTCGACTGGTTTTGGTCCGAAAAGGCTGCGATGCGGCGTTCCTCCTTTATTCCCAATCGAACATGGTTGAAGAAGCGGTCACGTGCTCCTGCGTACACCAGTCACCTGGTCACCGTGCCTGCAGGGTACAACTTACTAGCCTGTTTGACCTTTTTTGGGTGCAGTCCTGTCACTCGAGTTGAACCGAGTTGAACCTTGGTGTGAAAGTTGTCACCTGCTGGCGTGGTGACCAGGTGATTTGGGCACCCAGGACCACGTGACCGCTTCTTCAACCATGTTCGATTGGGAATAAAGGAGGAACGCTGCATCGCAGCCTTTTCGGACCAAAACCAGTCGACTCAGCGTCCCAAAGACTACAACATATGGGCCAATCGCGGTCATCCATGCTTTTATAAGAACGAAATGGCGCTTTTAGTGACATTTTGCATACAAATCCCCATCTAGTAGGGCGCAGTCACCCAGTTTCGGTGGAAGTGCGCGAGTTCGATTGGGATTCAAGTAGGAAGGGAGCGTCTCAGCTTCCTCGGACCAAGACCATTCGACTCAGCACCCCGAAGACTACAACTGGTGAAATTTTAATTTTTGCCTTAACTTCCCCTTTAAACAATAAAAATTAGGCCACACTGAAGAAGGTCTGTGGTTCGACTCACCCGACCGACCGTACATTTTTCAGCCCGACCGTAACTTTTTTTCGGCGGGCTGTCGTGTGACTGACGTACGTGGACTGAACACGTCCACGTCTACGTGCTGTGCAGCGTGAGTCTGCGGACGCAGGCGGCTCCTTTTGGACTTGACTTGTAGTTGTACTGCAGTGCAGTGCAGTGAGTGGTACGACTGCTGCCTTGTGCTGGTAGTAGAGTCTACTCGATACGACCACCGGCAGACTGGCGAGACTTATTTTGAAGTGACCGTCCGGTTGAGAGTGATTGCCTCGTTCCAGATTAAGGACGGCCTTCTGTTTTGGGATGAAGGACAGACGAGATTGCACTTTCCTCGTCTATTGGGAACGATATTTCACCTGTACCGGTAAGTTGCTGCTCCATGTGTGCAAGCACAGGAAGCGTCGATGGAAAAAGCCCATGTATTCGTGCACGCCGACACCAAACTAGCAATACATGTACCGGTACATTGTACAATTTGTACTTCGAAGTAGTTCCCGAACTTACTTTCAACTCGCATCGTTCTTCATTTGCTTGATTATTATTATTATTATTATTTTATTTATTTTACTAGATGATTTGGACAGTCAGAGTCACCGCTTGAAGTTATTCTCTTCTCGTTCCAGAGCTACACAATGTTTCAAAGTATTAGCCAGTGATCCCTTTATACAACATGTATGGCATAACACTGCGTAATAATGCCGATGTACTGGGTGTCTAAAGGCAGTACAGTGTATTTACATGTACTAAAAATATGTATAAAATAAAAAAATCCGCCCGCCCGCCCGTAAAAAAAATGTCCATGTTAGTCGAACCACACACCTTCTTTAGTTTGGCCTTACCAAAAAATTACAAGCCTATGCTAGTACAATGAGGAGATTCGACACTTGCTCACCGTGATTGATTTGTTCAGCAGATATGCGTGGGTGATACCTCTGAAGAGGAAAACCGGCGCCAGCGTGAGAGACGCTTTTCAAAGAATCACGAGCGACAGCGGACGCTCGCCCCGAAAACTATGGGTCGATGAGGGAACCGAGTTTTACAATGCAGTGCTCAAACGATGGCTGGCAGAGCGGGATATCGACATGTACAGTCAGTAGATCTACGCACAAGGAGTAGAGGGCTAGGCCGTTGTCGACTCGTGGAGCGGTTCAACAGAACGCTCAAGTCGCGCATGTGGCAGCACTTTACCGCTAATAAATCGACCAACGACACGTGTAGATCTACATAGATGT